TCGTCGGCGCCGCTGCCCCCGACGCACCCCCGCCGGTCCGCCTCGGCGCGGAGTTGTGCGTCGAACTCACCGTCGGGCAACGGTGGCCTCCCGAGCAGGTGTCGGTGCCGGCACCAGCGCAATCCGGGCCTCGCAGACTCTCTTCGCACGCAACAGCAGCGGCTGCAGCCCTGTGCCGTTCTCTGGCATCGACGCGTCGCCGCCGCCGCCGCGTAGCGCAAGCAGTGCCAACAGCACACCAACCTACAAGGCCGCCCTGCGCCGCTCTTCATCCTTCACCGCGGGCATGTTGCCGCCGGCGGGGTCGGCGATGACGGACGGCGAGGGCCACCCGTACCTCATCGGTGCGGCGGCACCACCACCGCCGCCACCGCCGTCGTTGTCCTCCACGGCCGGGCGGGTGCACGAGTGGACGTCCTCGCTGGCCTCCTCGGTGCTCTCCGCGACCTCCTCCGCCCGCCCGTCGGTGCCGCTGCCGCCGTCGCACGTCGGGCCCGCGTCGAACCTGATGGCGGCGGTGTGGGTCGACCTACCGAGCTCGCAGCCGGGCAGCCGCTGTGCGACGCCGATCAACGCGAGCGGCAGCGATGCCCAGCAGCAGCACCGACGCCGTCGCACGACGCCGCGGCGGGGGTCGGAGCCGCCGAGCCCGGTCACGAGCACCCTCGCCGCGTCGATTGCGTCTTCCTTCGAGGGAGCGCTCTACGCGTCATCCTCCGCTGCTGCAGCGGCGCTGGCCAGCATGCGATCGCACTACACGACGGTGGCGACGCAGACGGACATGATGGCGGGTGTGGTGCTGGAGTGGCCCTCCACCCCGGAGAAGCAGCAACGACAGCAGGAGGTGCAGGCGGAGGAGGGCCAAGAGGCCCACACCACTTCTCCCGCTCTCTCAGTGGAGCGCCGCAGCACCCCAGAAAAGATGGCGCTCGAGGCGGACGATGAGACTCCGCAAGAGGAACAGCAGCAGCAACGGCAGCAGCGGCGGCAGCACCACCCATCCCAGGCGACTCCCGCGATGGCGCTGCCGCCGACGGCCGCGTCGGTGTCGTCGACCTCCGCCGAGGTGTCTCCGCGCTCCTTCCGCGCCAGCATGGCGGACCCCCCTTCGGACGATGTGGCTGCTGCAGATACGAACTCCGCCAGCAAGTCTTCTGCGTCCGCCAACGTGATGTGCAAGAGCTGCGGTGGTGGTCGGTCAGGTGCTGAGGCATCTGCCTTCACGGCTGCTGCTGCGGCGACGGTGATGGAACCTTCGCACGGGTATCCGCATACGTATCCGGCGAATGAACGTTTTGCTGCTGCGTCGACGGGGCCGCCAAGGGACGTCGCACAGGACACGGAGACCGCTGCCTCGCCCACCGCCGCGGTGGTCTCGCCGATCACCCTGGAGCTGCCGACGATGACGTGTGCAGCGCAACTTCCATTTGTCACAGTGCGGGAAGGGAGCACGTCGATAGAAAAGGCGGAGCCAGTGCCCGCCGGGGCTGCGCTGCCGGGCAGCAAGGCTGCCGCGAATTCGAACTCCCCGGCGGTTCGCGTGGGTCCTGCTCCGTCGTCGCTGCCGACCGGTGTGCCGCGGGTCAACTTATCACGCCCTACAGAAGGGGAGCACCGCTCAGCGGGTTCTAACGGCGCTGGCGGAAGTGAGCAACCACACATCACTGCTGCCGTTGCCGCCGGAGCAGCCCCCAACTCCTCCGCGGCACAGGCAGACGAAGTGCAGCAACTGCGATCGGAGTTGGCGCACATTCGCAGTCAGTACTACCTCGTTCTAGATCAATTACGCCGCATGCAACAGACCGGGAACGCTGTGCTGCCACAACTACCGACTGCTGCCGCGGAAGCATCCACGCGGAAGACGGATGATGTCGAGGACGTCTCCACCGTTTCTCGCTCCCCCTCTGCCTCTTCTTCATCCGCCTCTTCGTCGGCGGCTTCCGCCTTGTCGGACTCGGCCAGCGATGAACGAGCTGCGACGGCGGCTCCTCCGCAGACCACCACCGCGTCTTCCTCCGATGGCGACGCCGCGACGGCGCTGCAGCACGTGCGGGAGGCGCTGGAGCGGACCCGTCAGCGGACGAACACGGAGCGCGAGAAGAGAGGAGAGCTGCGTTGACGTCTGCATCTTCTCTCTCCTGAGCACTCTCTCTTCCACTCTTTCACGGGCTGTCGGTCGGAAAAGAAAGAATCCATCGTGCAGGTATTATTTGATCATTATTATTATTATTTTAAATGTTGTTGGTGAAAACTGCATAGACGCGCTTTACGAAGCGTTTTTGCGCGCGAGCTCGAAGGAGATCGACGTCTTCGTCGGTGCGCTCGACACCGCTCGTCGTCAGTTTCCTTGCTTTGTCGCTCCCGCTGCCGTCTCGTTTGGGGACGTCGCTTTCCGGATGTTCTTGCAGGTCGCAGATTGAAAAACAAATTGCACGCATCCAAGTCTTTCTCGTGGTGGCGTACTCGCCGCAACCATCCAGAACTGCGCCGGGGGAAAGCGCTCTATCTTCTGTTTTTGGCTTTCTTCGATCGCACGTGTGAAGTCGTCTTTCCTTCTTCGCACTTTGGTGTTTTGGTCTTTGCATCCGCCTCGACTGCGCCACATCTCTCCCTCGTTCTCTTTCTTTGAGATATCTGCGTGTACTCTGAAGCGTATGTGTGTGTGTGTGCGTGTCTGCGCCTGTGTGTGTGTCTGCGCCTTCTTCTTTCTGCTGCGTAGTGTCACGCCAGTCGGTGTCATAGAATCTTGAGCTTGCGTTGACCCCTTCGTATTGTTCATGCGTCATCGCTGTCGTTCAAGTGGAACGGCCTTCTTTCCACTTGTATGGTGTGCGAGGGCGTGCGTCGTCGTCGTTTCCGGTTCGACACTGTCACTCGCTCTCTCTCTCTCGTTTGGCTTCTTCCGGTGGTGTGGCACGCTGCGGGTCGGTGGGCGCAACACGTAAGGTAAGTCGTGAATGCGCTTTTGCTGCTGTCTCCGGTGCCTCAGACGTCTGTGATGATGATGAAGGAACTGAAGTTGAACCCACTTACCGACAGTGATATATATGCAGAACAATTCCTGTCATGGCGAGGTCATTCGTGTGCAGCGGGGTAATACGTGGTTGAAGAGCGATATCCAGAGAAGCTGTACGCTGCTCTTTTCGCTTGTGTTTCCCTCCCGTCCCTCACACGCAGCGTGTCTTGTTGGCGTACGGAAGCAAAGGAAGGCCCATGCCGTTGGCTCCCGCAGTGACCAAATGAAAGGGTCCATTGCAGCACGCTTCTTCGCCTTCTCCACCTTTCTCTCGGGTGGCAAATCATCGGTGGCTTTTGAATTACTTCTCTTCTCCCGTTCTTCTATCTACCGTTGGTGGTCCGTTCATCCCTCGCTGCACAGCGGCACAAAGGAACGCGACACACCTACACCCCACAAACCATAAGCAGCGTGGCTCTACCATTCCACGTACTACATAGAACTCACCAGGCACACCGAACACTGCCATCGATAGAACTCCGCCTTCATACATCTCTTTCTTTTTAAATTGTTTTGTTGACGCTGCGTGTAATTCCAACAAGGTGAATATCGGCTTAAAAGGGCAGACACGACCAATGTTAGCTCTCCGTGAAGTACATGCACCGGGCGCCACGCGCGTCAGCATCGGTGGCCATCACATACTCACCGGCGGTGCCGACGGCGTCGTGTCGCTCTTCTCCGCGAAGCAGTGGCCCAAGTCCGCTGCTCTCTGGTCCTTCAACTGCCACGAGGCGGCGGTGACCGATGTGGTGCTGGCCGACTCCCTCGCACTGGCCCTCAGCTGCGGGCGGGACGGACGCATTCTGCTGCATGAAAGTATCTTCGACACGGCGAAGCTGGTCTCCCGTGTCATCTGCCAAGTCACCGGGGAGGTGCGCTGCCTCCAGCTGGACGTTGAGCGGCGCCGGGTGTACATCGCCGGCGACTCGCTGCGGTGCCTGGACATGGCACAGGATCGCTTTCGCATTCAGACCATCCCGTTGGTGGTGCCGTTCCCGATTGTCTCGCTGGCGATCTCGCCCTGTGGTCGTCTTATTGCGATGGGCAGCGCCTCTGGAGAACTGGGGGTCGTGTCTGCCCCACCGAGCTCTTCGACAGCAACGAGCACGGATGCTGCTGCTACCGCTGCTGCTGCTTCGGCCAAGGTCCAGTTCATCTTCCGCTCCGTTCTCTCCCCTACAGCCAAAAAGGACGATGCGGCGCATTACCGCATGGCGTGGTGCACCACCGAAGCCGGCGGGCTCATGCTTATGGTGCCGACCGCGACGGAGGTGCAGGTGTACCAGCTAGACGATGCCGCATCTCCACCGCGGATGCGCGCCGTTGGTGGGCTGCATGATCGACAGCTCGTTGACCTGCACGGCGCGCTGGTCTACCGTGTGACGAAGAACCGACTGGCCTGCGTGATGGCATCCTCGGACGGGATTTTCATTGGGAAGGTAGAGGCGAAAAACCTCGCCATGGCGCGGCACACGTCGGAGCAGTACCGCAGAGCCGCCAATGGGGAGGCGGCGGCGGTGACGGATGTGCAGGTGAACGCGGTGACCGGCGATGTCGTGGTGGGGCTGTCGGACGGGTGCATCTCTCTGCTGCGGAAGGCGGCGCTGCGGGAGTGGCGACCAACGGCAGCAGGGGCGGTAAAGGCAAAGGCAGCAGCGATGGACGCCGCCGCGACGCAGGAGGACGGAGGAGAGTTGGACGGTGAGACGCCGGACAAAAACTCGCACGCGACGGCCAAAGCGAAGAAAGGCGGAGGGACGGAGAACGACGACGACGACGACGATTTTATCAACGACGATGACGACGACACCGCCTCGGAGTCCTCGGTGGACTCCGCCTCCACCGCCGCCTCTTCCGAGAGCGCCGTGGCGCCGGAGGACTTCGGCAAGGTCGTCGTCGATCTGCAGCGCAGCGGCGCCTCCGTGCACGACAACGATGAGGGGCGCCCCTCTCGCTGGCGTGACGACGATGCGGCGGCTGCGCTGGCGCACGCAGAGCGCGAGGCGGAGCGGCACCGCACCCGCAGCCGCTTCCTCGACGACGAGGCGGAGGAGGGCTCTGCGGAGGACGACGAGGACGAAGATGCCGCGGACGACGACGACAACGTGAGGGCGTCGCGGTACCACCGCGCCGCCGATCAGGATGAAGAGGACGCCTCCGAGGGGGACCGCTACGACAACGCCTCGCTTGAGGGGCTCGCGGAGGATCGTGACGGCTGCGCAGACGGCGGCCGCAACACGTCGTCCTCGTCGGCCGCCAACGCGCCGCTGCCGTCCGGCCGTGTGCCGGCGGTGCAGGACTACTCCTTCCAGGTCGGCGCCACCCCTGCCGGGGAGGAGGGCAGCTGCTACCTCGCCTACAACTCGGTCGGGTACATCCACCACAGCCGCGAGGCGACAACGGTGCACTTCCATGACATCTCCTTCCCCGCCGTGCGGGTGCAGCTGCGCGACACGATCTTGATGGGCTCGCTCAGTCCTGTCGGGGCGGGCTTTGTCGTGGTGCCGGCCGAGCCGTCGGATGCGCAGGGCAGCGTCGACGAGGCACCGCGGCTCTCCGTCTTCTACCACGCCTTCACTCCGCTCGGCGCGCAGTCGGAGTGGCGGGTGTCGCTTCTGCCGGGCGAGACGGTCCGCTGCCTCGCCGCCGGCATCCGCTACCTCGCCGTCGCCACCAGCCACTACCTCCGCATCTTCTCCCTGTCGGGGCTGGAGCTGGCGGTGCTCAGCAAGAGTCAGCGCATTGTCACGATGGTGGGCACCTCCTCCCGCGCATTGATGAGCAGCTTCAAGGCCGACTTCGACCCTCTCGCTATCATTTCACTCTCCGGAACTGGGGAGCTGCTGATGGAGGTGGTGGACGTCGGTGCGCGCGCCGCGGCCCTGCCGGCGCGCGCGATTCCCCTGACGGAGCTGCCGGACGGGTCGACGCATCAGCTGCAGTGGCTCGGCTGGTCCGAGGATGGCCTGCTGCACACGGCGGACACGGCGGGTGTGGTGCGCATGTATACAGAGGACTGGGGCGGCTCCTGGGTGCCCGTGTACGACCCGCGGACGCTGGTGGACCAGTCCTATGCGTTATGGGTTTACGGCGTCAGCGACCACGCCCTGCTGGCTTACCGCTACTCCCGCGATGACCCTTCCTACCCAGCGGCGGCGGCCAGCGGCCTCAGCACGGAGCTCGTGCCGCTCTTCCTGCCTCTGACGCGCACGATGGGCGAGGAGGGCCGGGAGCGGTGGGACAAGGTACTGCGTCAGCAAATCCGCGGTGACGAGTTGAAGCGGCACGCCGCCTTCTACGGCCCCACCATCGCCAAGTACGACGAAGTACACGACCATCATCTACTGCAGTTCTTTGAGAGTGCGCTGAAGGGGCAGCAGACGACGCGGGCCCTGGAGTTGGCGATGCTGATGGAAATCCACGACCGGGTCGTCAAGTGTGCGCAGCTGGCGAACAGCAACGGTTACGCGAAGTTGGTGCCGAAGCTGCTGGCGCTGTACGAGATGCGCATGGCCACCAAGAGCAAGCGGCGGTGCACGCTGCCGCTGAGAGAGGCGATGTTGTCGGATAGGAAGAAGGACGAGCTGCTGCGCAAGTTACTCGGACAGATGCTTCCGCAGGATAGGAAAGGCAAGACCGCCGAGTCACCGGCGGCAGAGGCCAGCAGCGGGGGTTCACTGGCGACGGCGGTGCCGGTGGAGGACGATGAAGAAGCGGAGCAGAAAAAGAGGCGTGAGGTTAGTCCGACACGAGCGCCACCTTCTTCTCCGTCTGCGGCAGCCACCGCCGGACGAGCGGACACATCTCCGTCTACGACTTCCACGGCCACCACCGTCGACGTGGCGGCGCCGCCGAAGTCCGCTGTCCCGTCGACCTCCACGGCCGCCCGTCGTCACATCTCGTTTGCCCGCGAAGTCGTCCCCCGCACTGCGGCAACCGCCGCATCGCCGCTGATGCTGTCGCAGACATCAACCAACACTGACGTAAGCTCTCTCGCGCCTCAGACGGTTACCGGACCGCGTAAGGTGTCGAACCCTTTTGCCAAGCCCTCCGCCGCGGCTGCCGTGAGTGGGGAGGCGAGAACATCTTCCGTGACAGCCACAGCTACGGCGTCCGCACGGGCCCACCAGACACGGCTGGGCAACGCCTGCACCACCGCCACTGCGTCTGCCGCGTCCTCTCTCTCCCTCTCTCCGAAGCAGACTACGCTGCTCGGTGCATCGCAGTTCAGCACACCACCGCGCACGAAGGTGACCACCGCGGCGCCGTCGGTCTCCGTCCCTGGCGTGGCGGCCGTTGCACAAGAGCAGCAGCAGCAAGAGAAGGACGACGCGGCGACGAGTCTTTCATCCCTCGGCAACACGCCAGAAGACAGGCGCGTGAGTGCGGGGCACGCCGCTGAGTCCCCGGCGGTGCCACACCGCGATAACGCGTCCACCGTATCCCACCACACCGCGAAGCCCACCACTGGCTTTGTGGCTCGTGAGCTGCCGACACACACGGCCACAGCTGCCAATGTTAGCAGCGGTCCTGTCGATCCATTCCTCGCCGTAGAGGAGACTTTGAAGACGACGGCGGCCGCGATGCCTGGGCCTGGCTTCCTCGCAGGCAGCGCCGGCGTCAGCCGCAACACGAGCACCTCGTACCCCACAGCCACTCCTCAGGAGGTGCCGTCGGTGTCCGTGCAGTCGCTGTTGGACGTGGGGCACGAGGAGACGGCGCCGGTGGTGCGCAGCGACAGCTTCGGCGAGGCACTCCGGAAACGGTACCGCGACGACGACGAGGCGGAGGACGAGCTGGGCGGGACCCCGCTGGCCGCTGTGCCGAAGCTGACGTTGTGAGCCGCTGCGTTGGCCTTTGTTTTGGTTGATTTGGGCGATGTTGTCGCCGCCATGGGCGTTGCGATGCGTGCGTGGGCGAGTGCCACGGCACCACCAAACCGCACCTTGATCTTTTTTTGTGATAAATAGTTTGTTTTTCTCCTATGCATAGAACAACATCAGAACCTCCCCCCCCATCGTGTTGAGTGATCGATCATGTGTGTGGGTGCTTCATAGAGATTTTGCGGAGGCGTGACGGTGACGTCGGCCGTGCGAGGTGCTGCGATGAAGTCCTTCACTCCGTTGTCGGCAGCTGCACCCCTGAACGGAGGAAAACATCGTTGTGATGGTACGTGGCTCCGCACAAAACTGACTTGCCAATGAAGAATTCTTTCTTTGTATCTTCGTTTTTAAAAAGACGAGAAAGCCAAACAAAGCCAATCAGCGGTCACACAACCTCGTGGGAAAGGGAAATGCGCAAACCAACGATTGGGCGCTGTTTGCACACGCGAAGAACGGCACTAGGAGGGGGAGTCAACTGGCGAGTGCAGCAGATCAGCACGGCGGTGTGCCTGCGGGCTATGGGATGCGTCAGCACGACACGATCGACTCAAGCCAAACTTGTACCAACGGAAAAAACAATAGAAGAAAACGAGGTCTTGCCTTTGGCAGCTCAAGGTGTACGTGTGGAATGAATGGGCTCCTCTTTACATTTTTTCTTCTGCATCCGCGCCTCCGTCTTTCATCGATACGCAGAGGAGGAAAGAAATATACTCGCTGGGGCGTTCCTCTACACGCATTCATATCGACACCAACTCACTCACACACACGCACTCGCTGCTTACGAGCTCCCGCTTCTTGGCTCTCTAACACGCAAAAGCTCTCTTCCCCTAAGCCCCCATTCCTTACAAAAGAACAATAGCAACTTTCTTTCTCTTTCTAATGTCATACAAGGTTCGTCAGGCGGTTCGCGGCGATGTCGAGGCGATGATCCGGATGCAGGCCGACATGGCCTGGGAGACGGAGAAGCTCAAGCTGGACGAGGACACGCTGCGCCGCGGCATGAACATCCCCTTCGACCGGCCGGGCGTGGCGGACTACTACGTGGTGGAGGAGACGGAGGAGAAGCGGATTGTGGCGATGCTGATGACCACGCAGGAGTGGTCGGACTGGCGGGCCGGGGCTGTCATGTGGATTCAGTCCGTTTACGTCGTGCCGGAGCACCGCCGGCGAGGACTGTTCCGCCGCATGTACGAGCACCTGCGCAAGCTAGTGGAGGAGTCGGACTACTACGAGGGCATTCGCCTCTACGTCGAGACGGAGAACAAGAATGCGCAGGCGACGTACCGGAGTGTGGGCATGGAGGTGGAGCACTACCACATGATGAAGTGGATGAAAGGCCACTTCTGAGGAGGCAGAGAAAATACGATGAGAACTCCTTTCTATTTTCAAACGAATAAACTCCTTTTTTGTTGTTTCTTTTAGGAGGTCGAGACCCGCGCTTTGGAAGGTGATCTGATTCTTTGTTTCTTAAATCCTCTTTCTACTTTGGCTCCTCTTATGCTATCCAACACGCAAGACGAAAGTCAAGAGAGATGCGCACCTTCATTGCCCACCTCTCTTTAAGAAGCTGCGTGTTGTGAGGCGGAGCTGCTAGTCGAACGCGTCCGCACGCTTCGTACGGCGACGTCGGCTTGGCGTGCCGAGCCCGCGCTTCTCCACAACCACGTTCTCTCTCGCTCCCTCTGTTGGTGTCTGCGCCGTTCTTTTTTTAAGCTTCATGAGCCGTTTTTCCTTTGTTTGCTTGTTTTATTTTTCATGCTCACTTTTGAAGAGCGCACGTGTGTCTGCCTCCCTGTTTGTTGTAGATCCTCTTCTTAAAAGAATATATAGTAGTGTATACATATATATGTAATATGGCGGCTGCTCCAGCGGCTTTATGCGTATTAAAAGCAAACACCCAAACCACAACAAGAACAGCATTTGAAGAGAGGGTCAGAGCGAGATCGTGTGGCGCTTCTTTAGAACCTTTACGAGCAGTTTCGCTGTGTCGTTGGTGGCGCTGCGCTGCGACCCCTGAGGCCTTTTCGTTTGCGTTGTCGCCACGCCCTCACAACATGCGTATGCACCTTCGATAGCATTGCTGTCGTCAGCGAGGGAAAGTACGTCTCTTTCTTCTCATTCTCTCGCTTCTCATTCCCCTTCATCGACACTCACGCACGTGCCCCCCCCCCCCCAATCCTTGGTATGACGAATCAGAACCTACACACCTCAACGCCGTTGGTTTACCTTCACACGTAGAGAGAGAGGAAAAAGAAAGCACACGCTTACGTCTTGTTATATCCACCTCTTCGACAGCTCGAACTCATTTTTCTCTTCTTCTCCTTCTCCCTTTAGCCCTTTCCCTCCCTCTTTTGATCTGCTGCATCGTGCATCCTTAAGGCAGATCTTCCTTTGCTGGTGCACGTGGCCAAGTTGGTCACTGACCGCCTTGTCCACTTACTCATAGCCCACCCCCCCTCTTCTCCCTCTTCTCTTCTTCACTCAGCCAAGCGATGTTCTTCTGAATTGTTGAAGCTTTTTCATGTGTTTTACTGCTTTCCCCATCTCTGATTTGAACTAGGCTGTCTCTCGAATGCCCATCTCCATGCACGTCGGCCACCGCACTGAGCACCCCGTGCGCACCGCCCTGCGCGTGCTCCTGCCGCTTTCCGTCGGCGTCGTTTTCCTGCTCTACATCACCGGCACCTTCGGCGTCTTCAGCCGCGTCCGGGAGGTCGTCGATGCGGAGGGGACTTCGTTGCGCTCCGCCGCCGGCATTGCGAAGTTCTGCCGCGAGCTGCAGGAGCTGTCGCAGCAGCAGTACTGGCAGGTCCTTCTGTTCATCACGACGCTGTACCTCACGCTGCAGACCTTCTGCATTCCGGGGACCGTCGTGCTGAACGCGGCGGTGGGGGCGGTGATGGGGACGCTGCTGGGTGTGCCCTCCTGCACCCTGCTCGGCACGGCCGGGGCGTCGTGCTGCTACCTCCTCTCCCGCACCGTCGGCACGTCGCTCGTGGAGGCGGCGGATGCGCGGCTGATGAAGGGGAAGGGTATCACCAAGATCCGCGGACAGGTCGCACGGTACCGGTCGGATCTCTTTGTCTACTTGCTGTTTCTGCGGCTGACGCCGATCTTGCCGAACTGGCTGGTGAACTTAGCGTCGCCTGTGGTGGGCGTCCCGCTGCACACGTTTGCCGGGGCGACCATGCTGGGCATTGCCCCGCAGACCTATTTGACCGTCCGCTTTGGCTCGCTGGCGCACGCCGGCAAACCTGGTGAGGCGAGGCGCATCGTGACGCCGTGGGACACGCTGCTGCTGGCGGTCCTCGGCGTCGGCATCTTGGTTGGGTTTCGACTGAAGAAGAAGTTTGAGCAAGAAAAGGAGCGGAGGGAGGGCGGCGGCCACGACGCCTTCGTCAATGTTGCGGTGCGGGTGCCCCCTCCAGCGTAGAGTCGATAACAAGAACGCAATATATATATGTATATGCGTGGTGGGGTGTTGGTCTGCGCACAGCAAATGAGCAGGCGCTTGCCTGAAGCAGGAGAGGACTCAAAAGAAAAGGAGAAAGCTAGATGAGGGTAGAGGTCTTGCTTATGGAGTACCACACACGCTTGATGTGCGGCACGTTCGCACCTGGCGGTGCCATCACGTGGACCATTTGGAAATGGGAGAAATGCATACCGAGGTGAGAGGTGCTTCCGTTTTTCTTTTGGCGGTTCGCGACGGGCATTAAATGAAGAAAAAGCGCTGAGGAGGAGGAGGACCGTGGGTGGACGTGCTGCGGCTCTGTCGCGAGTACCGGGATGAGTCCCACACACCACGCGAACTGCGTTACCGTGACCTCCGCCGCCGTCTTCGCTCCGCGCATTCGATGTGCGTCGGACTCCCACGAACTCGCCGCTTCGCTTTTGTTGGTTATTATTAGTATTATTGTTCTTTTTCTTTCTCTTTGCTGTTTCCTCTGGACTCTGCGTGAGGTGTTGATTTAACTGCTGAGACCAAAAAAAGAATGGGGGAGGAACAACTCCCATCATCGCTAAAATCGCTGAACGCTGCGCCGCCAACTGCGCAGTTCCATCTTTCTACGAGTGCTGTCTGCCCGTTAAGCGGGGCGGTGTCCCCAGCGCTTCTCTCCAGCAATTCTTGTTGCATCGGAGAGAACTATGGAAGCGGCTGCCTGCTCTTTGCGGCCCTTAATCCCTCCTGGCGGCGCAAGGAGAGCTTCGTATGCTCCAATGGAAGGAAAGCAAACCCTCCGCAATCGGTGCTTTCACCGTATCCCTCACACGCTGCTCTCGCCCACGTCCTTTGACACGACCCCAAAGCTTCGCTGCGTACCTGCAACGCCACAACGAAAGAGACACCGCCTCCTCCTCCTCTTCCGCACACCACAGCTGTCGCGTGAAGCGCATTCGAGGTATTGAGAACACGCAGGTTTGGAGGGGAAGCAAATAAATGGTCCTCACCGGTTTCATTAAAGTCGAACGGTGTATGCAACGGAATTGATGTACAGTAGCAGACATACTTTGAAAACCTCTTCTTTCTGTAGAAGTCATGTATTATGGTAAGCAAGAGGCGCAGGGCGGGCAACGCGGTGCGTTCAGCCGCCTCATGGCCGCACGGCGCGCCAGCGAGGTCCCCACGTCACGCACCTCCGCGACGGCATCGGGAGCGGCGTCGTCAACGCCGCGGCTGCCGACGCTCGCGAAAGGCGGCGAGACCACTCCAGCATCTGCCCCACTCAGCTCCTCATCCCACCTCGTCGCTTCGCATCATAGTAGCAGCGGTAACGGCGGCGGCAACGCAGCGCCTACAGGGCGGCAGGGCACCCCCGACATCCCCTCCTATGTCATCACGGAGCGAACGCCGCGTGCGGAGCTGCTCGCCATCATCTCGGAACTGCAGAGGGACCTCACGCAACGCACGGACAGCGTCAACGCCATTCAGCGCAACTTCCAGCGCCTGAGCGCGATGCACCACGCGGAGCAGGAGGAGCTGCAACGGCTGCGGCGCCTTCAGCAAGAACGGCAATACGTGGTCCCGCCGCCAGACACGGATGCAGCACTGCGCGAGCAGCGGCGACTGGTCGAAGAGCTGAAGGCCGAGCTCACGCAGCGGGAGCAGGAGAGCGCGCTTCTGCGGAAGGAGGCCGCCCGCTCTCTCGAACAGCACCGACACGCGGTGGACCGCAGTGGCGTTGAGCACGTGCTTCTGCAGGAGCGGCAGAACATCGCATACGCGGAGGCGCAGGCGTTTATGGAGCTGATGAAGACTTCAACGGCAGAGCTGTCGCGCCTTGCAGCAGAGCGTGAGGTCAGGGACGAGAATCGGCAGAAGCACGAACACCTGCTTCGTGTGTTGCGCGCGCACACAGAGCGCCTCGGTGCTCTTCAGCTTAAAATAAGGGGCGATTCCATTGAAGCCGGGGCGAACACGCCGGTTCCTCTTCAAGCGGAGCTGCGGTCTTCTGCGTTCAGCGGCGGCGAACTGACTGCCGTGGCTGCGGAGCTGCAGAGAGCAGAAGAGGCAGCAACGTTCTGTCTGGCCGGATACGCGAGCGCGGCGGCCCAACGACACACCTCCGCGAGCACCGCAGCGCAGCAGCAGCTGGCAGCGCTGACCGCGAAGACGGATGATGCGCAGCACGCGTTGTGCCGGACGCTGATCTCGTGCGAAAGGGAGGCGCGGTGTTCATTGGAGGGCGCCGCCGCCGATACCGCAGCGGCGCTGCTGTGCTCTTTCCAACAGCTGAAGGTGGTCGCGGAGAGCACGGCACTACGTGCAGTCGCGGTCACGTCCCAACTGGAGCGCACCCGCGCTCAGTGCAGCGAGTACGTAGACCAGTGGACGGCGTCTGCGGACGGGCGACTGCACGAACTTCATCACCACATCGATTCCTGGTGTGCTTCATTCGAGAGCGACCTCTCTGCGCACCGCAAGACTGTGGAGCAACACGGGCAAGTGATGCGTGAGCTGGCCGCCGCGCGCACGGAGTGGGAGGCGCTGCGCGACACGGAGCGCAAAGCGCACAAGGCGGAGCTCGCCCACGTGCGACAAGACACCGCCGCGAAGGTGGCCACAGCCGAGTCTCGCCTGAAGGCGTCGCAGCAGCAGAGTTCAGCCGTGCAGAAAGCCTTAGAGGACGCACATGCTGCCCACCAACGTGAGATGCAGGACGCTGAACAGCATGTTCAAGAGAGGTGTAAGGAGGCCGCGGCGGAGCGGGAGGTGCTGCTGAGCCGGCAGTGGTTCCGCGTGCAGTCTGCACAGGAGCAGTGCACGGCGGAGGCGATGTCGCTGTTGTGGGACGTGTCTTGTGTGCGAAGGTTGTGCTATCAGGAGGAAGCAGAGGCACGCATGGCGTTGTACGCGGCACACGTCCAGGCCGCTGCCCGGCTCTCTCAGCAGACAACGAGCCAAAAAGTGTTGGCGGGAGTCTCGCAGGCGGTGTGGGCTACGCATGCAACGCACTTGTCTGAGGGGGAAGCCGCGGCTCGCTTGCTGGTAGAGACGAAGGCGCAGGAAGAATTTGTTGAGCTCGTGTGCGAGGAAGAGGGCGGGAGGCGCGGTCTGTGCTACAACAGCCAACTGGCACGGCTGCATCAGGAGGTGGACGAGGCAAGGGTGAAGACAGCGGAAATGCAGGCGAAGCACCGACGTCGGGAAGAGCAGCTGGAGGCCGATCTGCACCTTGCCGAAGAGGAGCGCCGAGCCGCATTGAGCAACGCGTCGGATGCCGCCGCCGCCGCCGCTGCCGCACGGAGAGCGGAGCAAAAGGTAGCTGAAGAGCTCCTCGCGCTTAAGTCGTCCACTGCTGCCGCGGCGGAGCGCATTGAGGCGGCCGAGAGCGCCACTGAGAGCGCCTGCTGCTGTTCGCTCTGCCTTCAGCTGCTACACAATCCCATCGCCTGTGTACCCTGCGGGCACGTGTTCTGCGCGGGGTGTCTTCTATGGCACACACGCAATAAGTCGCTGTCCTCGCTCAGCGCCGCCGGCGCCGCTGGCGGTCCGCAGCTTAGCCGACGCGTGAGTGGTGGGGCACCGCCTCGGATTGAGGTGGAGGTGGCGCAGTGGATGCGCGGGCTGACTGTTCCGCAGGCCCGGCTGTACTGCCCGGAGTGCGGCGGTGCGCCGAGTGTGTCGACGGTGGTGGAGCTGCGCGCGTTGGGTGACCTGGCAGCCAAATACACGTACAAGAGAGGCGCTTTGAAGGAGTTGATGAGGGACCTCCTTTGAAGCGTCTCAAGAGCAAAGGTGATGGATGCTTTGCCTCACTTTTCCATCCGACTTGTGCGGCGGCGAAGGAGGAGACGGGCCGAGGAACGGGTGCGCAAGATGCGCAGCAGCGCAGGGCAAAGCCCACTCTGCTGAGCGGCGCAGCAAATAATATTGGAGAATGTACTTATGGTGTCCCGCAGCAAACTGCTTCTCTGAACGAAACAGCGAAACCAAAGAATGACTCGTAATACAACCAACAGACGACCGCCGCACGTAACGGCAAATTACTTGTGAGACAAGGCGGTAAGGAAGCGGAATGCCGCTCTTTAGCAGATGCCCCCCCCCCCCCTAACCTGTTGAGCGTTGCTTTTCGTAGGAAAGCGCGAGCAACGACGGTCTTTCATTCATTTTTGTGGTCCACGCAGATGCGCGGTCTTTTGATTGTGCGAAGTGCCGACTACGTACAATTCATTATCATCATCATCATGATCGCCATGTAGAGGTGTCGAATTGCAGGTGGCTGCCATCGCAAGTCCTTCGTCTTCCCACGCCTTACCTTCTTTTTTTAAATGTTGTTGTAACGATGCGAAAGGTGACCGGCGTGTGATCCTCAACGGTGCCTCATCTGCAGCACTTAAAAGAGAAGATACACTTTCTATTTATCGACTTCCCGGCGAGCGCCCTTCATTGACGAAGATCGCCGGAGCTGCCGCCCACCGCAGTACCAAAGAACCACCCGCTACGGGGCTGCCCCTCATTTTTGTTCTGTACATCTCCAAAAGCCTTTCATTTCTAAGTTGTTTAATCCGCCTTTTTTTTTTTGCTGGTTTGGAGCATCCGCGCCCGCAGGCCCTCGTTGTCTTCCTTTTCCCTTCCTGGCTGCTGTGCGCGCCGCATTGGAGTGCTGTTCCAACACTGTTGTGTCGTGTCGTTGCGCGTGAGACCCGCGAGAGCGCGAATATCGGTTGAGGTTGCGCCTGTCAGGCGAAAAGTGACGTCCATAGCGTCGCTCTGCTCATCTCCTCCGTACCACCGCCGAAGGAAGCATCTTCCATCGCCCACGCCGCGGCCTTGTGTTTGCGCTTCGAGTTCTACCGTTCGTTTCGTGCCGCACGCAGCCGCGCACCGCCCCGCCTGCCACCGCCACCACCACCAACAGCGATAGCAGCAGTGGACGCTATTATCTTTATATACATCTACTTCTTTCTATACACCGACCGTAGCACTGCTCTTGCTTTTCTTTCCGTTCGTTGTGCGACCGTCACAGCTGAGGTAAAACGCAGGTCATGGCCCACAGCAACGCGCAGGCATCTCTCGCGGAAGCCGTGTCCGCGTGGGACGCGATGGGGTCGCCCACCTTCCGTCTCCCCCCGCACGTTGTGCCGCAGCACTACGCCATCGAGTTTCAGCCGAACACCACACTGAGCACGTTTGTCGGTGCGGCGTACATCACGCTGCGGGTGGCAGTGGCGCCAGCGGCCCCTCTCACACATCTCGTGTTACACACACTGGACCTCACGCTGGAGAAGGTATCGATACGCGTCTTTGTGCCGACCGAGGCGCGGACGCTGCTGTCCGGATCCGGTCTGCATCCCAGCCAGCATCGCACAGCTGTCGCCCCACAGAAGAGGCTTTATGGCGACGGCGAGGGGGGCTGCATCCCCTGCGCGAGCCTTCGCCGCTCCGCGGTGTCAGAGACGACGCAGCTGCTGTTTGACGCCCCCCTGCCCAGCGCCGTTGGGGACCTCTTTGTCCTCCTGATCGAACGCTTTAACGGCCGCATCCGCGTCAGCCCTTATATGACGGGGTTGTACCACTCCAGTCCCACCGATCCGACCGTGATCAGCACTCACTTGGAGCCGACCGACGCACGCCGTTTGTTTCCTTGCTTTGATGAGCCGGCCATCCAGGCCACCTTTCAGCTGTCTGTCGTCACAGACGCAGCGTCCACCGTCATCTCGAATACGGAGGTCGAGGCGGATATTCCGCTGTCGGTGCTGCCCTACTGCGGTAAGGTGGCCCGCAGCATCAACAGCAACGCCGAGGAGGAAGACGCAAAGAACGGGAAAGCCGCTGCGAGCTCTATCGCCGGTCTTCTCTCGGAGGAGCAGGCGCCGGCGAACGCATCGTTCTCTTCTGTCGGCTCAACTTCTGCGGCTGCGGCGACCATGCCGTGGCACTGTGTGCGGTTCGAACCGACGCCCCCCCTGCACACCTGCGTCATTGGCTTCCACGTCGGTCGGTACACCATCCTCGAGCAGCGCACGCGGCTTTCTCGTGTGCTGTGTCGCGTGGTGCTGCCCCACACGGAGCAGAGCAGCAGCGGTTGGTTCGCGCTGGACCTCGCCACCAAGGCGCTGGACTTCTTTGAAGAGTTCTTCAACGTGCCGCTGCCGCTGAAGAAGCTCGACGTGGTGGCCGTGGAGAAGTTCGCCGTGCTCGGGATGGAGAACTGGGGGCTGATCAACCTACACAAGGACTACCTGATCGTGACCGGCAGCACCCCGCTGGAGCGCCGTCAGCGCATTACGCGCCTGATTGGACACGAGACGTGCCATCAGTGGTTCGGCAACTGGATCACCATCGAGTGGTGGAACTGTCTGTGGCTGAAGGAGGGCATGTGCCGCTATTTGGAGTACTTCTTCGTCAATGCCATCTTTCCCAGCTGGGGGCTGTGGAACGAATTTCAGGCCATGATCATGAACGACGCGCTACAGGCGGACGCCGACCCCTTAAAGACGCACCCCGTGGACAGCTGCAACGCTGCTCCGCGGCACATCTTCGGCTCCTTCGACCTGATCAGCTACGGCAAGGGTGCGTGCGTGCTGCGGATGATGGTCAGCATCATCGGCACGGAGTGGCTGAGGCGGGCAACACACCTGCTAATGATTCGCTTCGCGAACAGGTCGTTTAACGCGAACGACCTCGGTGACTGCATCGTGGCGACGGCTGACGAGCACAGCAGCAAGGAGGCACAGGAGCAGCATGCCAAAGGGATCAGCTACGCACTGAAGATGGTGGAGGCGGTGAGCCATCCGTACTTGTACATCCAGCAGATACCCAACGAGGGCTACAACATCACGCAGTACGTGCCCCCGAGCAAGCAGCACGGCCTCCTCGTCGAGTACTGGCAGAGCCAGCGCCATAAGCTCGGCTCACCAGCGATTGACCTTTTCTCAGTCCCGTCGCACGTGTCATTCCAATGGCGGCCTGAGGAGACGCTGACGCGCGTGTCGAAGCCGTTTGCCCTTCCGCTGCGATCGGCCGGCTGGCACCGCGGCGGCCACGGCAGCGTGCGTCTCATCTTCGTCGAGGACGCAGAGCACTTCGTGCCGCTCCTCGCCACCGCCACCGCGGCTGCTCCTGTTTCCTCCTTCTACTCCCCTGCCTCGAAAACCGGCGGCCACGCCGGCCCCAGCGCGTTTTTCGCCTCTCCTACGCTCAGCAAGTCCGGCGAGCAGGAGGCGTCCACCTCGCCGCGGTCCCCCACCTCCCCCTTCCACCGTGTGTTCTACTTCAACCACGGTGGCTGTGGCTTTTACCACTGCGACTACGACATGGCAACGTGGCGGCAACTCTTCGAGTTCGTGGCCGCCTTCTCCGATGACGAGCGGATGGCCATCACGCTCCACTTCATCAACACGGCGAAGGCGCAGCTCGGCCACCAGCCCGACACGGTGGGTGACCGCTGCACCTTGTTCTTTGAGTGGCTGCTGCGGCTGACCACCACGCCAGGGGCGATGAACTCGTTTCTGTGGGACATCGTCACGGGGGCGCTGACCCACATCGTGCACCTCGTCCAGCAGTACTACTGCCAGTCCGTTGTGAAGGCGTTCGTGAACGGCCTGTACCTGCCGCTGCAGAAGCGCTGCGCCCTCTCCTTTTTCGCGCAGGAGAAGACGGTGTCCTTCCAGAGCTCGATCCACCTGTCGCGCCACTTAGTGCTGCGCATTCTCCAGCTGCTGTGCCTCTGCGAGAACCCGGAGGTGATGGACGAGGCCGATGAGACGGCGCAGTGGGCGCTGGCCCGTGTCGTGCCGCTCGCTGACTCGCCCTACCACGCAGCCATGGGCGGCAGCGGCAACGGCAGCGGCGGCCCCGGCATCACGACGACGTCGGCAGCGGCGGCCGCACCGCTCTCGGCGGATACTCTGTCGCCGCACTCCATCGGCCTTCGCGCGAGTGCAGCGACGACTCAGCTCGCCACAGCACCGCTCGGCGTCCCCGCTCGCCGGTCCTCGCAGACAGACCTGGGCGGTGCTGGCGGTTCTTGCGGCACCCCAGCCAGCGCGGCAACCGCACCGAAGTCGTCACCGGTGAAGGCGACGCCGGCGCAGGGGCATTTGCTGACGGGCAGCTTCACCGGGTCGGCCGCGCGCGCGTTGCCGCCACCGCAGCTTTCCTCCACGCCGCACGGCAACGCCGATCACGGTCCGGGCAGTAACGTCACAAATCTTTTCAACTCCTTTGGCGGGCCGCCGAGCACCACGGACTGGGCCGGCGTGAAGAACAGCAGCATCGCCAGCTACCCCTACCAGCGTGCCGCGGAGCTCAACTTGACAGACGCGAGCCACGTGAAAGCCGGCGTGATCGCCCTCGCTCATCTAGCCTCCCAAGGCCGCACAGAGCACTGGGTGGCCGCGGCGGCGGTGGCGGCGGAGGTGCTGGAAATTGACACGGACGCGTTGCAGCGTCTGAGCGGGATAGCGGTTCCGTCAGTGCGCCTCAGCGGCCTCGACCGCAGCAGCCGCGCCGACTACTTGCGGCTGGTGCTGCCGGCTGTCTTCTCCTTCGATCGTGAGCAGCTCTTTCCTTTTATGGTGGAAATCTTCCAGTCCGTGTCTTTCATCACGGTCGAATCTGTGGAGGCCCTCTACCGCAACTCGCGCTTCCTTCTGCACCTAATCTCTCACGGGCTGCTGACGAACCGCAGCGTGTTGCACTTCATCGTCACCACCGGGGCCGAAATATGCGGCAACGGCTTCGTGGTAGCGCAGCTGAAGGCGCTTGCGCAGGGCACGTCGAGCAACAACGACTCCGTCCAGAGCAGCGTGGAGATGTTCAAGGAGGTCGAGTTCGCCGACTGCACGGTGCCGGCCCCCGGCAACGGCGACGGCAGCACCCCGCCGTCCACCGCCTCCTGCACCCTGCTGCCGACGTCGCAGTGCACGAGTTCGTCGGTGAGTGCGGCCCCCAGCAGCGCTACCGAGCGCAGCGCCTTGCGTCTGCAGTTCCCCGCCGTGGCGAGCGCGCTGGATCTGATGGAGTCGAACTGCGTGTGGATGGATTACTGCTGCTGGCACTACGACCACTTCTTGCGAGAGCAGCGGCAGGGCCAGGTGTGGCGGCCGACGCCCAGTGAGGCGAGCTGGTCGATGCAGGTGTCGACGCTTGCCGGAGACGAGCTGGACGATGGCCCGGAGAGCTTTGGTGGGGTGAGTATTTGACGCACCTGCTGCCTTGTGCGGCGTTGACGGCAGTGACCGAGAGAAGGGGAGGGGGAGGCGGGCAGGTGGGCGTTGGGAGCGCCGGCAAAAAAAATGTATGGTAAACGGAAGGAGGGAAGTGGGAATTGCCCGCCGTGCCGCACAACGTTGATGCAGATGATGAGAGCGAGCGTGGAGACGCCAGTGGCGTACCGTGATGGCGCTCCGATGCAGATGTGCTCTATAGAACGGTGTTTATTGTTCTCTTTCTTTTGAGTTCTCTTAACGAAGCATAACACAAGAAGTGTCTTCTCTGCTGCTGCTTGCGCAAAACATGCTGAAAACGGAAACCAGAAAGGTGCCATGTACGATGAAATAGGCGGCTCTCCACTGGGTACTACAACTGACAAGGACACACGCTGCGCGCCTGCCGGAGGAGGACGCGTTCGTGCCTGACTGTCGAGCTCGTGCACTGATATAGTTAAGTATATATATATATATATATATATATATATATGTATATGAATATGTGGCGGGTAAAGTAAAATCCTTCTTGCTTGCTTGGCGTAAAGATTGTTGCCGCTTTTTTCCCTTGCTCTGCACCGCATGACGTGCGTGCGTGCGTGTGTGTGTGCAAGCAGGGCCGCAGTCACGCGTGCACATACAACAGAAGCTTTGAAGAGCCGTGGCACAGGTCGCAGTTCCGCATTGCCGTTGCAGTGCTCGGTGAGGCGTGACACACACACACGCACACGCGGTGACCTTTACGACCCGTTTTCTTCTAGTTTTCGTCAACGAAAGGGGGAGATCTATTTTTTCTTTCTTATGTTTTAGTGGTGGCGAAGGTGCCTGCTCTTCCGGCAGTCAACAGAATTATATTTGACGTTTTTCTGCTTCAGCAAACAATCAAAGCAAGAAGGAAAATAAAGAAAGAAAAACGACGCAGATCACCGCCAATCGCTTCTACAGTTCAACTTCATTCAGCGGCGGCGCTTGCGTCAACGAAGGGAGAATTCTTTGGTCGCAGCAGCAAAGCGACCGGGGGAGGGTGGGTGGGAGATGAAAACGAGCTCATCTTTTTCCTTTTTACGAGTCACCAATCGGGCGCTCAACTGCTCTTGCTGAGGTCCTGCTTTCTCGGACCGCTTAATGGAGAAAGTGAGACGAGTGAAGTTTTGGTCCTCCAACCGCCCTCCTCTTCGTTTTTTTTTTCCTTCTCTTCGCTGCTGTTTTGCGTTTCTCAGGTATTTCTCTCCTCTTATTTCTCATTTCCCCTTCACTATTACACTGACGATACTCACAACACGCAACTGCGCGACCGTCAGTGATCTAGCTGCCGCCCACTGGCCGTCTGCTCACCTTCTCGTTTCCATTCTTCGCGATCACCTTCGTTTTGCTTGTAAGCGCTTGCGCATCGATCTCTTCATTTTCTGTTATTTCTTGTTCTTTTGCTGTTACCGCCGTTGCTGTCTGCTGAGGGCAGTCTCCGGCATCTCATTAAAAAACTATTAAAAGGAAAATCATCAACAACAAAAACAGACCCCTTTTCTTCTTGCACGCTCTCGCCGCGTCGTTTCCGTTGTACCGTCGCCGCTATTAAAAGCCGTAGCGAAGGCCGCCTGGCCTTGCGTGCTCTTTGCTGATAACATCGTGTTTCTTCTTCTGGTTTATCTCAAGACGTGAGTAAGTACGTATAGAGTTGTTATTGCCGCTTTTATATTTCGGGCGTGATCGCAGTCAGAGAGAGAGAGAGCAACGAAAGCAAAGGAGGAAAGAGAAGAAAAACATGTTGCGTCTTGCCAGCGAACCGCAGCGGAAAAGAGAGCCGAAGATGCCGGAGTGCAGCCGGATGCTCTTCGGCCTCGCGCTGCTGCTGACGCTGCTCTCGGAGGGGATGATGAACACGCAGTACACCGCCCTCAGCACCGTTATCACCGCCAACACCGACCCCACCGCCCTGCAGCAACTCGCCACCTTCGCCGCCATGGAGGACGTGGCGGAGGAGGAGCAGCTGGACTGGGGCTCCAGCGGCCGACTAGTGCGCACGCCGATCAACACCATCGTGAAGCCGCGCAATGCAGAGACGCCGGACCCGGCGAAGATGGCCGCGACGCCGCCGAACCACTCACGCGTGAACTCGCTCGAGGTGCACAGCGAGGGCCTGTCCAAGTCGGTCTCCGAGGCGGAGAGCAGTCTCCACAGCCCGGCAGAGCCGGAGTTCTCCGCGGCGTCCTCCTCGTCGTCCTCGCGCCGACGCCCGCACCGCCGGCACCGTCGCCACAGCGGTGCCTCCGCGAGCGACGCCTTCGCGGCTGCCACGGCGGTCGGCGACGTCGTGGTGGAGTTGGCGGCGTCGCAGCCGGTGCACAGCTACCCGATGTGGACGCAGTTCCACGTGATGGAGGTGGCGTACAGCACCGGCGCAAACAACTTCGTCCACCTGACTGAGCGCTTCCTGCAGTACCAGCAGATGTTCCCAGTTGTCTACCGCTGCGACCTGGCCAAGGTGGTCTGCCCGGAGGAGGCAGAGCTGCTCGCCCTGCCGCGCAGTGGTCTGTCTGCGTCGAGCCACTGGACCTGCGCGAAGTGCGGCAAGAAGCACGAGGCGGTCCGCGAGAGCTGCCTGCGCTGCCGCACGCCGGGCCCCTACGCGAAGTTGTTTGTGGGCCAGACGATCAAGGAGGTGGACTGCACGGAGAGCCTCGTCCGCTTCCTGCACGCGACGCACCCCGAGGTGCGGATGCACCGTGTGGAGTGCCACCGCGACTCCCGCGCCGGCTGTGCGGTGGGCCGGGGGAAGGGCTGCGCATCGGTGTACGTCGCCCGCGAAGACGCCGCGGCGCTGCAGCAGAAGCTACACCACAACGCCTTCTTTGACATCAACGACGCGACGGGCGAGCTGGTGGTGTACTACGTCTACTCGGAGCAGCAGAAGTGGCTGCACAGCTTTGTGCAGCTGCGGAATGAGCGGGCCGATCAGCGTCCGCTGTTTTTGCCCTTGGCCCCTCTGGTGGTGGAGCAGAGCGTCGGCGCAGCGGTGCCGGCGAAACGGCCGAGCGGCCCACACGGCCGCCCGCAGGATCGTGGGAGTTTCGACCTCGCGCCCGTGCTGGCAATTCGCTAACCCTTTTGGTAGTAAGAGGCGGCGTACGCCGCCGCTACTTCTGTTTGCTTTCTTTCTCCTACCAGTTCTAAAATTTTCTTATCCACGATGGCTCTACAATAAAATTGGGGCCACATGTCTTTGTTTCCTCTTGTTACCTCTTTCTCCTTCCTTTCCTTCATGGAGGATCCTCTTTGCTTGTGTGTGTGTGTCGGCTGTCCGTGTTGCCGTCCTCCCACGACTATACCCCCTCCCACCCACCACACACACACACACACACACACACACACAAGCGCCCGAATAATGAAGTGCCCAAATGCCCTCAAAACGACGACAACAACAAACAATGCGCAGCGAGAGCGCTTTGCTTCGTTTCCCTTCTTCTTTGATTTCTGTTATGTATTTCACGCCTTCGCGGTACGGCGAGCGTCGAGCATTTACCCGTTTTTTCTTAAAGGGAAAACGTTTGTTCTCGAGTGTTTTATTCAGATCAATAAATCAGCGGCGATCCACGACATTTATTTTTCATTCATTTCTCTATCTCTTGAGTGAATTAGTTCTGAGCGTATCGGTGCGGAGTCGACTTCCAAGTGAACAAAAGAAATATATATATATATATATATATAATGAAGTGCTCCCAAGCAAGCGCGGTCGCCTCGTCTTTCTCCTCCTCCCCCTCCTCTCTTCTATGTAAACGTGTAGATGCATACTGGAACTGTGGGTGGATTTCAGTCCCCCACCCCCTCCGTTATCTCGAGTTGTCGTGTCGCAACCACGCACTTCCCCTCCCTTCACCGAGAAGCAAGCGCCGGCAGCCGTAGATGCTCGTGCAATTTTGGATCACCCCGTCGATCCATCGATTGAGTGAGTGGGAGGGCGGAGGGGGAGGAAACACTCCATGGAGAGTCAGCGAGGGCGACTTGGTAAGTAAGTTGAGCGATGCAAAATATATATGGTTGAACGATGACCGTGAAAACAAAGGAAACGTACGAGCAATCGAAAGCCGCAGAAGAGCGACGCCAACACACGCACCTAAAATAGGATACAGAAGTGGATGGAAGGTGAATGAGAGTGTCGCGGTAAGAGGCGGTACGCACGACGCGCGCCGTCATGAGCGTGTTTGTGGCTCTGAGTGTGTGCCCAGCACGTCGTGGCGGCACCCTTCTGCGTGTTTTTCGCCCCCCCCCCCCTGCCGTGATCCTTCAGGGCGTCCACACAGAGCTGTGCGGAGCCCGCCACCAGACCGATGGCAGGAGTTGCCGCTGGTTTCTATATATACGGGGGTTTTCCACGCGCCTCCTGGTATGCCAAAGGCGCCTCGGGTGCTTCTCGCTTCCTACTTTTCTTTTGTTTCTCCCTTCATTTGTGTCTCGTGCACTCCACCCTGTGGGGGAGCCTTTACGCAAGCTACCCGCACAACGACGCACTGCTGTTTCATGCGCCGCGGCCATTTTCTTTGCCGTCACTTCCATACATCTCTTCTGCGCCCCACCCAGATCAAACCGCGATCATCTTTCGTCATGTCCGCTACTGACAAGACGGCCTCCGCCGCAGAGGCAGAGGCTGCTGCGGCTGTTGCCGCGGTGGAGAAGACCCACGCCAGCAAGGACTACTACTTTGACTCGTACAGCCACTACGGCATTCACATGGAGATGCTGAAGGACTACCACCGCACGACGAGCTACCGAGATGCGATGTGGCGCAACGGGTACATGTTTAAAGACAAGGTCGTCCTCGACGTGGGATGCGGCACGGGCATCCTCTCCATGTTCGCCGCCCGCGCCGGGGCGCGCAAGGTGATTGGCATCGACTGCAGCAGCGTGGCCGTGCAGGCTCGCCAGATTGTGCAGGATAACGGCTTCGGTGACGTCATCACCATCATTCAAGGCAAGGTCGAGGAGCTGGAGCTGGACGAGAAGGTGGACATCATCATTAGCGAATGGATGGGTTACTTCCTCCTGTACGAGTCCATGCTGAACACCGTGCTCTACGCGCGTGACCGCTGGGGCACGCCGGAGGTGAAGATTCTGCCAGACCACGCCAACATGTATGCCTGCGGTATCGCCGACCCCCAATACGTTGAGCAGAAGTTCGACATTTGGAAGAACGTCAGCGGGCTGGACTACTCCTACTTCAGGCGCCTCAGCTACATCGAACCCCTCATCGACACGGTGCAGCCGGAGCAGATCACCACGGACATCGTCCCCTTCTTTTCCTTCGACATCAACAAGGTGAAGGAGGAGGAGCTCTCCTTCACGAGCACCTTCACGCTGGAGGCACAGCAGGCAGACATGGTTCACGCCATCTCCGTCCACTTCGATACCCCCTTCAACGCCGGCCACGATCCTGTGGTGTTGAACACGTCTCCGCTGGTGCCGCCTACGCACTGGCGCCAGACGGTGCTGTACCTCTTCCACCCCATGATCATGAAGCGTGGGGAGAAGGCGAACTTTACGATGAAGTGCGCGCCGAACCCCGGCAACCCGCGCGACCTCGACATCGCCCTGCGCATCGACTTTGACGGGGAGCTTCAGGCGTGCCACTACGATCAGGACTTCCGTCTGCGGTGAAAAGCGATAGAAACACATCAAATTGATAGAAGCGGGTGAAAGAAGTGGAATAAGGTCGAGATAGGGAATGCGCAGACGGCAGTGCTGATGGAGGTGAGCCGCCGTGCCGCTCCCCCGACCCTCTTTCGCTGGGGCGAAAAGAGCAGTGAGGTTTTAAAAGGAAAGGAAAAACGATTCGGCGATGGAGGTGGGTTTTGTGGCGGTGCTCGGGGCCTTTGCTCATTGGTAAAGCGACTCCTCGCGTTTGAAATGACGGGCTGGGGAGAGGGCCCATACGCCGTTGCGCTGTGCCGCACCCGAGCGAGAGTAACAGTCGTACACCAGTATTCAGTTGCTGCTGGCGCATTCAGCCGTCTTGTGCGTGTTCGCGGCGAAGCGATGTTAAAGCTTGACGGCATGTTGATGGAGAGATGAGAAGAGTCGGATTTGTTTTCTTTTCCTGGTAATTAACATATATATATCTAACAGAGATAATACACGCGCCGATGCGATTAAAAATAACAGTCGAACGAAGAAAAGAAAAGGAGAAGCACCGCCACCACAGCGATTGCGCTGATGTCGAGGCGCGTGCGAGACGTTGGCGATGCAGCTGCGGTGCCGCGACGGGGAAAACCGACGAGAGAAGTCTGCGGTGCATGTGGGCATAATTCATAGCGATTTTGCTCATACATGCGCTCTGTTTTCCTTCTTGTGGTTTCAAAAAGCAGAACGCTTTGTGCCCTGCGCAGTTCGGTGTTTGCGGCGTCCAGCTACGAAGACAGTAGCGACGGCACGCGTTGCGACGCCTCTCCGCGTGTTTTGAAGTGCTGGCTGACCGATTTACCTCTCAAGGCAAATCGGGTGTTTTTTTCTCTCTCTTCGTCCTCATCTGTCAACGCTCACCCGCCTTCCCCCTCCCCTAAGGGTCTGCCGATGTACACGCCCCAGTCTCGCCTTTTCCTTTGTGTAGAATGCGGGCATCACACACTATTTGGGTCTTGTAATACGTGTCGACCTTCGTTTGCTTGAGGGCATTTCCCTTTGGCGTTTAGTTAGAGGAGCCACGCCGGCTTCTTTTTGGATTCATTTTTTCCTTCTCCCGTGACGCCCATCACCGCTCTCCCCGCACTCCACAGGTGTTTGTCCCGCTGCATGAAGCGCCTATCGTTTGACGCCCACCGCGTCGGCGCCGGCTCCCGCTCCCCGCCCCCCTCCCTGCGCCGACCGACCACCTCCGCCCCTCTCCCCAGCGGCGACGCCGTTTTTTCCTCGCCGCCCTCGCGACGGGTGCGCGGCGACGCCATGAACATCCACAGCAGCCACGTCACCAGCAGCAGCAGCAGTGGACGCTACGGCGTCTCTGCCCCTGCGCCGCCGTCGCTGGCGGTGTCACCGAGAGTGGAGACTACGACCACGCCGACGACATCAGCAGCGGCAGCGCCACCCACACAGCTGCGTCTGCGGAGTAAGTCCGCTACGCAGCGCCGCACCGCCGTCGCAACGCCGGGGGCGGGCCACAGTGGTCGTGACGGTGCGGGAGGGCACAGCGCCCGCGCGGAACCACCGCGTCCAAACCCCCGTGGTCGACGAGGTGAAAACGTAGGCGACGTGAGCGCGGTTCCCACGCAGGAAGGGGCTGCGCAGCACATGCGAGCCCGCAAAGTAGACGGCGGTGCCCCCTCTGCGCGGCGGGCCGCGACGTCGGCCGCTTCGCCCACCCCTGCTATTGCGGTGGCCCCATCTACGAACTCTTCCGCAGGGCTGACGAACTACCAAGCACTGCAGCGGGTCCGGATGATGGTCGTGGCTCCGACGACGACATCTGCCAGCGAGGCTGCTGTCCGTGGACGTAATACAAGTAGTAGCGGCAACAGTCCTGGCCACGTCTCTGCTGCGGTGCATGCGAGGGAAGGGGAGGTCACATCCCCGCTGACGTCGCCTACCGTCGCCTGCACCCCACCGCGTGGCCGCACCCACATCAGCAACTCCTGCCCTTTGCCACCGATGCTGAATCAAGCGCGGACCCCGGTGTCGCTGAGCTCCTGCGAAGCCTCCTCCTCCTCCAACCCGAGCCGATCGCTGTGCTTCGTTCCGCTGCTGCGCACGCCGTCAGCCACACCGGAGCGGGGGGCCGAGTCCCCCGCGATGCAGCATCGCGTGCCTCCGCTGATCAAGTTCACGCCGCCGAGTCAGCCGCTGTTGTCGTCTCCGGTGGAGTCCTTCAGCCCGCCGACGCCGCCGATTGTGGCCCACTCGCAGCAGCACCAGAACCTGCGTGGTGCCGCGCCTTCCAACTGGTCGAGCTCTACGCTGACGGACTCCGCCGTTACGCCGCACGGCGGTGACTGCCTCACCTGGACTCCGTCGGGCAGCCTGAGCGACGACCTGAGCACCCAGCCATCGCAGCAGCCGCAGCAGCAACAGCACGCCTTCTCACAGGTGATGGCAAGCGCAAAGGAGGAGCGGCGGCCGCGGTCTCTGCCCTCTCACGGCCGCTTCAGCACGAGCGAAGGGCGGCCACTACTAACCGCAGAACGGCAGTTCCCGCCCCTTCTCGCGCCGCAGAGTCACACGGTGGTCGTGCCGGCACAGAGCGTACTACCGGGGAGCCCCTCAACTCCTGTCTCGTCGTCTCCTGCGGGGTCTCCGACGGAGATGGGCGGCGGCGCTGCGGCCATGCGACCACCGCTCGCACGTGACGCCGCCGTTGCCTCGGCAGGCACGTACCCCATCCACGCCCCCGCCGCACTGCTACTACCACCACCGCAGCCCATCCTGCACAAGCCCACCGCAGTGAGGAGGGCATCACCACCTGTAGCAGCCGCACGCGACCAGCACGCGGCCGCGACGGCATCGCCCAATCCACTGCGCCCACCGCGAGCAAACGCTATCGCGTCCCACCTCGTCAGCACCTCCACAGACCGTCGGCCGCTGATCGGCGCGTCAGCGGGCTCCAACACAGCCGCGGCGACCGCAGCATCAACCAGCACCGTTCGCACTGGCACGAAGTCGCCCGCCGGAACACTCTCCACCGAGGCGGCGAAGAAGGCGATGAAGGACCGCCGGCGGCGTGAGCTCTACGCGTGGAACGAGCAGCTGCGTCTTAAGAACGAGGCGGGTGTTCAGGATGCTGTGTGAGGCCGCCCGCGGTGGAGGGAGCCAGAAAGATGAAGGGAAATCAAAGCCGGCTGTTTTCTGTGAAGCGCGGGCTTCAACGGTGCAATGGGGAGAGAAGGAAGGCGCTGGAGCCGTACGGGGCAACCGCCGCAGCGTACTCGTCTTCTCCGTCGCCTAAAGACGGAGGGGGATCCGCATATAAGAGAAGATGCACACGGCCAACTACACGGGACTCTTCGTGCGATTCGCGTACATGTTATACCGCTCCGTTGTGTCCATCTCAAAATGACAACGCCTCCCCCAAAAGACACTTATCAGCGTAAACATGTAATAAGTACTTCTGCACTCGCTTCGTCGTGTTGTTTTGGTGTACGTTTTTCTGTTCTTTCCCCGCACATCACTCACAACGACATCAGATGACTTCCTGTCCCAAGCATCCATGCTTGACTGGTGGATCTTATTATCAATGTGTTAACAGTAGACACAGGTCGAGCTTGCAGTGAAACGCCGTCCCACGTTTTTTCTTGAACTTCTTCTCGCTCTTCTCCTGCGACCTTTTTTCGATGATGTCTCCTTTAACATCACGCAGCGCTTTCTGCAGCGCTCGAGCGGGGACCAACATTCCTCGTTCCATCAACACGCGAACTTCGCAATCTGACGAGTGACGTGCAAGAGAGAGAGAGAGAAGAATATGTCCGCCGGAGTTGGGCCTGCTGCAGAGCAGGTGGATAAGCCAGAGGAGGCGAAAAGCGACGTCGACGTGGCGCCGCTGCTTGCGCACGCTCCTCAGGTCATGGAGGAGGACGACGGCGCCGTTCACATTGCCGACAACGAGGCGGACGACGAGGCGGCCCTGGAGGCGCCGTACAGCGCGGAGGCCTTGCTGGACACCGCGAACGTCCTGACAGGGGGCGAGGAGGCCCCACCGCGGCTGAAGCGCGACTACGCCACCGCCTTCTTCAACACCGATCCCCGCATCGCCTTTGATGCGCTGCACATCGGAGCCCTGCGCGCCATCGAGGTTTGTGAGCGCATGAGCCGATCGAGCTACGACTACCCGCCGTGGTACGTGCCAGAGGCTGAGCTTGTTATTCCTCCCTCTTCTTCTGAAAGACCGTTCTTTTTCATCAGTGCGATGCATCCCGTGGTGCAGTCTCGCGCCCCCATTGAGCGGGAGGATCGCCGCGTGGATGAGCTGCTTTCCCACCCATCTCGCCAGGCGTTGGCGGCGACGATCGGGCCGGACATGCTTGAGAAGTTACGCCTGCACCGCCACACCGAGGTGCGGCGACGTCAACGCAGGGAGGTGCCAGGGCCGCCAACGACGCGTGTAGCACCGTCGACATCGTCGGTGCAAGAGAGTAGCGGCGAACCGTAGGCGAGGTGTAGATCATAGAATCTTTGAAGGCGATGCGTGACGTGTACGTGCCATGCGGCCGATATATATACACATTGGGCCTTCCCTTCGTGAAGCAGCACATGCGCAAAGAAGTTCATGCCACGGCACGTTGGACGGCGCGTGAATGAGCTTCGACCACAAGGCTACAGCAATACAAGAACAGACAGAACAAGCAGGGGATAGCGAAAACGCACGTTGCGTGGAACCGATGTCAGCGCTTGCCAACGCAGGGGACGAACGCTCCATCTGTGTTTCTTCATCTTTAACTCTCCTCGCTCGTTGGCTGCCGTTGCCGAGGCTCCGTTACTCGCTCTCCTCTTCTCCCGTCCCCCTTCGCCACCCGCCGGACTTCACATTCGAAAGCAAAACAACCATCAACAAAAGCGCGGATCATCAACTCGGCGTTGGCGCGCAGAGGCGTTTTCCAGTGCACGATTATAAGCGGCGTTCACCTTCCTTTTTCTGTGGTGAAGCGAAGCCGCGGCTTTGAAGCTAGAATAAGCGTATACCGCTGCGGAGTGTAATGCCCACCATGGAGGAGCTGCGCCTCAAGGGCAACAAGTGCTTCGCTGACGACCCCGCTGAGGCATCGCAGTACTACCTGCAGGCGGTGGAGCTGTACGAGGCGCAGCACACCAAGGACGCGTCGTGCACACTTGACGAATTCGCCAAGAGTGCCGGCAACGCGCTAACGTGTCTCTTCAAGGTGGGCGAAACGGAGCAGTGCGCAGCGCTCGCCACGCGGGTGCTGCGGTCGAACCCGATTCTTGCCAAGGCGAACGCCTTCTACGGCCGCTGTGCCCTCGTGGACCCCTCGTTGGATGTGGCCAGTGAGGGCAACGGCACGGCGAGTGCGGCTGCGCTGATGTTCCTCTGCCGCGCTATGTACGAGCTCCCTGCGTTAGAGGAGAGTACCCGCGACAACGTCGAGGAGGCGCTCACGCGACTCATGCAGGAGCAGCTGACGGTGTTCGCCACGTTCAACACGACCCGCGATCATGCGATGCGTGTTGTGGCGGGTAAACACGGCAACGGCGTCGAGGCTATTCGGATCATTCCCGCGTATACCGAGGTGGCGTCGCTGCTGACGCCGTTCTCTGTGGGTGCCTATGAGGAGTCGGGTGGCAAGGGCTGCTGTGTGGAGTGCAGTCGACCTATTCAAGACGAGAACGAAGCTGGGAATGATGCACATGAAGATGATGATGACGATGATGATGGTGACGGTGGGGAGAAGAGCAGTGCGAATGGTGGGGTTACCGAGGAGAGGGAAAGCAAGCAAAAGAACTCCAGCGGCATTCGGGGCTGCCCCGCATGCGACATGGTGGCGTACTGCTCTGAGAAGTGCGAGGAGACACATCGCAAGCAGCACGAGCAGTTCGAGTGCGCACGAATGCAGCGGCTGAAGGAGATGATGAGGGGGATCGAAGCCCGCAAGGTCGACGCACCGGAGATGTTCTACGAACTGGCGTACCACTGCATCACCACCGTTGCGGGTCTGCGTGCGCAGCGAACGGGCCATGATCGCGTCCTGACGCTGTCCGCGCACGTCGACGAGGTTGTGCAGTCGCTGCATCCCATCGGGCCCCTCATGTGTGATCTGTTCAAGAATGAAGAGCAGCCCCCACTGCTGTACCAGGTGATCGGGGTGCTGCGCTGCAATGCGCTGGAGGTGACGGACGAGAGTGGGCTCGGGGTAGGGCAAGGCCTGCACATTGGGGAGGGCGTTGCTTCCTACTACAATCACTCCTGTGCGCCGAACTGCGCCATCGACCCGGTGCTGCACCGCATCATCACGACACGCACGGTCCAACCGGGAGAGGAGATGACGATTGCGTACATTCCGCAGCTTTACTGGCCTACCCGCCTGCGTCAGGAGCGGCTCAGCGAGGGCTACTTCTTCGTGTGCCGCTGCCCCCGCTGCGTGAAAGGGGATAAGGACGCGTTTGAGCTGGCGCTGAGCATGGCGCTGCCCACCGCCCGCAGCGACGCGACGAAGCACTATCACTCCATTGTGCAGGTGCGGTGTAGCGCGGTGCGGGCCCGCAGCGTCGAGGACGTTTCCGCCAAGGACGCGGAGGAGCTGAACAGCCTGCTGTCGGAGCTGATGAGGCACCTCTTTCCCTTTCATTACCTGTGCCATGAGGTGCGCAACTGCCTCAGCTTTGTATACGCCGTGCTCGGGGACAGCCAGCGCTGCCTCTCCAGCTGCCTCGATGAACTGCTCATGTGGGAATGCATCTTGCCCGGCGCGCTTCCTGTGAAGCAGCTCAAGATTGCGAACGCGCTGCAGTGTTTGCAGGGGCTAGGACCAGGGGCGACGTGCGCTGCTGCCTTGTACCCGCACCTGTCGCGTCTGGCGCTGCTGTACGAAGTCGCAGAGCCGAACTGAAGATGCTTCTTTTCCTTTTCTCTCGATGTGGCGGGGAAGGTGTGGGAGAGCTGCACAGTCGGCCTTTCTCCTCAGCGCCGCGGTGCAGAACTTGGTGAGGTGACGCGCAGCGACGTTGCTGCTGTCCACGTACGCCTATTACAGTTTAGCGGTGTGGCTGCCTCGTCGAGGCGGCGTGTGCCGCAGCAATCTACGTTCCTTTTCTTTAAGAGTAAAAGTCGGTTTCGAGCGCTGCAATGCGGAGGGGTCTGCATGACTCCCTAACGGACGAAGGAAAATAAAATCAGTTAGCTGCAGAAGATGCCGAAACGCGAAGAGGGAGGGGAGTTCGGCACAGCTGGAAGGGGATGGGGTCGGCTACGTGAAAGGGCGGCAGAGCCCCGCCCCACCCACGCAGCTCTTGTAGAAGTACCAGCGCTTTTATGTGTTGTCTCGGATGCCCCTTTCTTCGTATTGCGAGTCGCGACCCGCGATGCCGCGTAACGCAGCCGACCGCTCTCTCCCGGGTGATCGTGGGAACAGCGCGATGCAATCGTATTCAAACGTGTCCGTTGAACGTGCTTTGCTCTCTGCCCTCCTTCTGACTTCGTCTGCTGCGTTTTCACAGGAAATGGCCTATTGCGTTTCCTCTAGAAATAAAGAAAGACACCCCCACTAAGCAACACCGTGTGGCTGCATTGCCATTCTCCGTCGCGTGCTCATCGTTGCTGCGCAATGGAGCAGACGACTACCTCGTCGACAAGCGTGAGATTTCACGCCCTCCCGATTCAAACTGATTTTGAAGGCACCACCGACATCAGCGAGAACTTCACCGCTGCGATGACGCAAGACCCACAGGATCATCTTAGGCACGCTGCGCTGCGTGGCCGGCGGCTCCTGGGGAAGGAGGTACGGCTGCCGGACGACTACGCGGTGGCGCTGGTGGCCGTCACGGACAACACCCCAGATCCATCTTCGTGGCCCTCGTCTTCTGCCTTCGCCACGGCAGGCGAGAAGGAGCGCTCCATTGTGGTGGAGAATAACATGCTCGTGCAGGCAGCTGCGCCGTCGTATATGCAGTGGGAGCACGACCGACCGCCTGCTGCCGCTGCCGCGGTGCCGCAGTGGATCGCCTTGGCATCCATCCTTCACTCGTCTGAGTGACGTGGAAGGAGAATGCGCGTACTTATCTTGTTTCGAGTTCGTATGTGCGGGCCTCGGGCTGCTGAACACGACACGCACGCAGCTACGTAAAATGGAAAGAAGCAAAGAAAAGCGGAGCAAACACAAATAGCAGCTATTAAAAACTTCCCTCTTCTTCATCTCTGGATTCGTGCGAGTACAAGAGCACAACAACCCTTCACTGTCTGCAGCAGGTCATTGAGAGACCACTGCAGTCCGTGCGGATACGCACCATCGTCGAAGGTGACGTCACCGTTTTCCTTTTCAATCGGTATTGTCAGCTTCCACTCCTTTTTTTTTTCCCCTTTTTCCCCTTCCGTTTTCTTCTGTGCCTTCGTGCCGAACCCGTGTACCGCTTGTGCTGCAGCAGACAGAGTTTAATAATTCCGTAATCGGCGGCGCCCCGTAGCAGCGCCTTGTGCCGCATCACGCCGATCGGTGTGGTCCTTCAGCGTACATCGTCTTTTTCTTCTTCTTTTTCTTCTTCTTTATGCGCCCTTCGTCAGACGCATTCACTGTGGCCGCATCAACAGCAAAGTGATCCGCAGCCGTCCACCAATTGTCTCTTCCTCTGCACCGTTGCACTTCACCGACCTGCCTTTGCTGACTTCATGGCCGCGTCGGTCGATGGCACGGAGGTGCAGCAGGCACTGCAGAGCCGAGTACCCTACAGCCTCCTCCCCGCCTCTCTCCAGCAGCGCGTGACGCCGTACGAGTACCAAACCAAATCGATCCACTATGCTATTCTTCGCGGGCACGCCTACTACCGTCTGCCTGACTTTGTACGCGCCAATGTGAAGGAGGAGGGGTACTATCAGGAGATGGTCCGCTACGCCGGCGAGCAGCTGCAGCTCTACCCCTACGTGCACCAGAAGAGCGTCGTGCTGTACACAGGGGAGACACCGCTGTCGTACTACACCGGCATATTTGCTGAGCTGCTGAAGCAAGAACAGAGCTACGACCGCCTGCCCAACTTCACGGCGATAGACGCACTCAACCTGCTTGGAATCGGACGCAACCAGTACCTGCAGCTCACGAAGGAGGTGCGGAGTAAGCTGCGCTGGCACGTAAATCGCAGCTTCGTGAACGATTACCTGCCGCGTGAGCTGCTGCCCAGCGTGACGGTGGACCCGCTCTGGTCCATCGGCACCGTCAACTACGCCGTGGACGTCCTCAAGAAGCGCTTTCACGGCCTCTCCGCGGAGGACGTGGGGCTCTATCGCATGCTGGTGAGCAAGGGAATGGCCGCAGTGCGTCCTGAAAGCCTGACTACTCTGCAGTTATCTAAATCGGTCTTCACCAAGGACACCGTGTACACCTACGAGCTACCGAAAGAAGCACTGCGGCGGCTCTATCAACGCGGGCTCGTGTTCGCCACTTTCGATGTGCCGCCGGAGTCGTTCATCGTCGTGCCGCCGCTCGCTGGCAACTTTGTGATGAACCGCACCTCCGATGATCCGCAGGAGCTGCTGCTGTACCGCGTGCTGTCGACGGTCGATGACCGCACCCCGCTGAACTTATTAGCGCAGCTGTTGATGTTGGACGAGGAGGACGTCTGCGGGGCGGTGCAGATGCTGCTGCGTCTTGGGCTGGTCAAGTGGAAGTGCCCGACTCTGCCGGCGTGTCTGGACGCAGCCACCTTAGAAGGCGTGCACCCGACGTGGCAGGAGGAGGTCGCCGCCCGGGTGATTGCCGCGACCCGTTACCAGCTGCAGCACTCCATGGGCGGGCTAACGTCGGACCCTGCCACAGCCCTCTCTGGAGCTGGGGGTGCCCACGCCCCTTCGTTCCTTCCCCCGAGTGACGGCCACCCCGCCAAGCGCATCGCGCTGCTCTACGATGCGACGCTCACCGGCTTCCTGATGATGACAAACCTCAGTCAGGACCCCACCTTTAAAAAGCAGGCCGTTATGCTCTTTGAGGTCGGCAAGATGCCGTTCGAGATGGTCCCCGACTTTCTCGCGCTGCTGGACAAAATCAGCTCGACCGAAATGGAGCGCTTTGGGGGCGACGCTAAGAAGTACATCAGCAGCGTCATGTGCGTCCGCAAGCTGCTGCGAGCGCTGTGCACCGTCGCCAGCCCGGACGGCGACGTCGGCGTGGATCTGCTGAAGATCGAGTCGTTGAATGAGTTGGAGGCGACGACGCGCTACTCGGTGCTGGGCCGCAACTACTGGGCCTACGTGATCACCTCTCCCGTGTCCGCCGCCCCGCTTATTGACATCGAGCTGACTTGTGTGTACGGCAGCACCGTCAGCTTTATGACTTCGCCGTGGATGCTGCTGTTCCTCTACGCCAAGCTGCGCCGCGGACCGCCGTCGCTGCTGCTGCCCTTCGGTACTCTCCTGTCCTCCTGGCCCCCGCTCTTCGATGACTTGGAGGACCCCCCCGCGCTAGCGGAGGACGACCCCACCGCTGCTTGCTCTAATCCTTCTCCTTCTGCGCCTCCGGCCTTATGTAATGTGGTGGGCTACAACGTGGTGCTGCGCCAGCAGGCGATGACGTTGGACGCGGAGGTGAGCTACAACGACCTCAGCAACTCCCTCCTCCTCGTGAACGAAGTCACATCAACGGCGCCGGTGTTTGTGCAGCAGATATCACGCATTCCACTGCTGCGGCAGCGCGACGGCAGCGTTGCCGCGGATGCGTCGTACCAAACCTTCGAGGTCGCCGTGCCCTTCATGGTGGACCGGACGCAGCTGCACGGGCTCCTCCAGTCGGCCCTCGCCGCCCGGCACCAAAGAAGCTCGTTTGTTGAGTTTGTAGATGCGGAAGATGCGGCGTGGACGCTGCTGACGGACAGCGTGGCGGCGCTGCGCTTGCAGGACTCGCTGGGCTACCTCATCCTAGCCGTGACCTGCGTCTGTGCGGCCGTCCCCTCTGCGGAGAGCGTGTCGCAGGACGGTGCATCATCGTTGGACGCCGCGGCCGCTGCGGTCACCGGGCTGCGCTGTGCGCTGCACACCGCCCACGTCGTCGACGTCGGCCTCGGCGTACCGCTCGCGCACATCGACGCATGCGAGTTGATGGTGGGGTTCATTCCGCGTCTCCTCGGCGAGGACTGCAGCGAGCGGCACAACGGCGCGATGCGGGAGTGCGTGAGCGAGTTTGGTGAGTTTCTCGAGCGCTACTCCACACTGACCCGGGCCGTCCATGAGAGGTTGACAATCCAGTCGACCACCTCGACCGGCCCGATGACGCAGCTGCACCTTCGCAGGATCGGCGGGGTGGGCGGGGCGCCGTACCCTTCAACGCGGCTCGTCTTCGAGGGTGATCACATCAGTGTCTCCGACGACGCTGACCCGGCCTCTGAGCAGTGGTGATCAGGACGCTGCTTTTCTGTGTTGGCGTGGACAGCAGAAGTACGTGTTATTGTTTTAGATTAGCATTTGCGCTTCACACGCACACACAGCGCGAAATGCTCAAAACGTACTGGATGCAGTTGCGCGTATTATACTGTCGGCGGCACGGGTCACGGAGCCGCCGCTCTCGCTCAGTGCGCAGCGTCGCCTCGCTTTGTATTATGCGATGCGTTGATGGTTCGTCAGCATCTTCGACACGCGCACTCGTCTTCCTTTCTTCGCTCTGCTCTTCTCTTCACCGTCACACCAACGCTAAGGGAGCTACATCGTTGTCCTCTTGTTGTCGTCTGTATTGCTCAGTACGGAGAGCTTCGTGTGCTTCTGCTCTTGTCTTTTTCTTTTCCTTTCTCACTCTCTCCCTTTCGCTGTCATGCAGAGCGGGGAGCCAAATGAGACGTTAGGCGTGGAGGCCTACCGAGTAGTGCCTCTCGGGGAGCCTGTCCCCTTCAAGATCGAATGCCTGACCACCTGTGATGATCTCCTCCTTGTCGGCACAAGCGACAGCAGATTAGTTGTCTACCGAACCGAAGCGAAGCGCGAAGAGGCGACGAACAGTAGCGGCAGCGACGCTTCTTCGCCTTCCTCTTCCTTGACGTTGCTGCAGGAAATCACCGACCCGCGTCGGCATGCTGTTCGCGCTCTCACCACCATCGGCGACCGCCACCTCCTCGCGCTGGTCGGCGACACCATCGCGCTTTATCGCCTACACCGCGAACCTTCTCGGTCGCTTCAGCTGCGCGAGGTCACCGCCATTGCGGGGCTGAAGGACACGATATCGTTTCACGTGCAGCAACAGAAAGGCCTTCTCTCGCTCGCCGTGCTGCAGCGCCGTCGGCTCGCCATTTACGAGGCGACCTTCGCCCACTTGGAGTTTCTGCTGAGGGAGGCGGTGACGTTGCCGGACGGCGTACGCAGCTTTGGGTGGCTCGGCCGCAGCTTCCTGCTCGGTGGAAGGAAGGAGTACTTCCTCTACCACACGTCTTCCTCGTCCAGCACGGCCCTCTACCCGACACCGCGGTCTGGGGCAACGCCTTTTGTGCTGCCCATGGCACCCATTCCGGAGGTGCTTGTGGCCGGTGATGGCGGCGGCATGCGGGCACTGCTGTCGGACGGCGGCGAGGTACCAGGCGACTCGCGTGTGCGCTGGACAACACCGCCAGTCAGTTTGAGCTACGAGCACCCGTACGTCGTCTCCCAGCACTCCACAGGGCCACACACGTTGCAGGTGCACCTACCACTGCTCACCACGCTGGAGGAGTCGACGGTGCCCCGCAAAAACAGCCTTGTGCAGTACATCGACATCCCTAAGCTGGCGAAGGTGTCGCAGTGCTTGTGGACGGACTACGACTGCCCAATGCCAACCAAAGCGACGGCAACGAACGCGCTCGCACGGCACCCCATCGTGGCAGCCAACACGAGCAATCGTCTATTTCTGCTGGCCCGCACCGCCATCGCCGCGCAGGCGGAGACGCTGGCGGCAAGGAAGCTGTTCGCCGCGGCCGACCTGCTCTGCCAGCTTTGTCCGCACGAGGTGCGGGAGGAGACGCTGACGCACGTGGTTGTGGCTGGCGCGATGTACCGCTTTCTCACGCTGCAGGACTACGCCGGCTGCTTTCATGAACTGAGCAGGATAGATGCGGACCCCCGCCTGGCCATACAGCTCTTCCCAGGGTTTCTGCGCCGAGAGGAGGCCGCGACGTGCCCGCTGCTGTCGACCACGCCACCGCCTACGCCGGTGCAGGCCGCCCTCCCCGCCCTCGTGGCGTACCTGCAGTCTCGGCGCATTAACCTTCTCTTGCGTGGGCAATCGCTTCTGACGACGGAGGCGGCACGCGGGCAACTCGCATGCATCGATCGCGCGCTTGTACTCGCGTGGTGTGCGCTGGAGGCGGAGGCGCCGCTGCTCGCCCTGCTGCAAGCGGAGAACTGGTGTGCCGTGGAGGACACGGCGGCCGTGCTGCGGGAGCACGAGCAGTGGGTGGCGCTAACCGTGCTGCAGGAGGTGAAGGGCGACTACGACGAGGCGGCGGCGGAGCTGGGTCGGCTCGTGGGGGCAGCCGTGGTGGAAACCGGCGCCTGGAACGGGCTACCAACGGAGGTGGTGGTCGCGCTGCAAAGCTTTTTCGCAGAGCACCGCAATCTCCCCACGAGCGATGAGGTGTACCTGCCGCAAAGCACCATTCTGGACTGGGCGGCATCACTACAGGAGGACAGCCCATGGAGCCGCAGCAGCACCGTCGCCAATGCGCTGATCGGTGTTGTTACTGCTCTTACCTTCTTCCGACGACGCGCACTGCCGCCGCAGCAGAAGCTCTTCGCGCAGCACCTGACGTGGGTCTTGGGTTGGGTGCCGCCTGACAACGCGCTGCGCATCTTCTTCTCTGCGCAGAACGTCCAACAGTACGCGGCAGTCCTGCGGCTTCTGCAAAACTACACGGAAATGCCGGGCTGCACGTCGAAGCAGCTTCTTCGCATCGCGTACCTGCAGCTGCTCTTTGCGGACACGCGGGTGCGGGTATCGGAGGCGGCGCTGTACGAGCAGTACTACAAAGGACTGGGCGATTTGCTCTTCGCCGCACCGCCGTCGGCGCCTTCGCTCGCCGAGGCGGACCGCCAGCGTTTCCGCAGCCGTCTCGACGAGCTCTTGCTGACGTCGTCGCACGTGGACCTCGACGCAGCGGAGCAGTACTTCAACGCGGATGCCATCAAGACACAGTGCGTCCCCGAACGGGCACTGATCTACCGCAGACGCGGGGCCCATCGCCGTGCGGCGGAGATGTTTCTGGACGAGACCGACGACATGGAGGGTGCGATAGCGTACGCGAAGTGCGCGAGCAGCGAGAACGCCGGTGACGCCTTCACCTCTCTGCTGGAGCTGCTGCTGAAGCCGCGACACGGGGCCCCGCGGGTGGCGGAGGCGCTGACGATTCTAAATACCTGCGACGGCGTCGACGCGGCGTTGGTGCTGCCGATGCTGCCGGCGGACTTGCCGCTGGCGCAGCTGAGCAGCTTTCTCCTCCACGCCTTTCGAAGCACGGCAACCACGTATCACATGTCCGCGATGGACAACAGCGTCCTGAAGGCGAAGTTAATGTCGGCGCAGGAGACGCACGTGCGGGAGCTGTCGCGGTCGGCGGTGCTCGAGGACGCCACTGTGTGCCCGGTGTGCCAGCGGAAGATTCGCCCCGACACGGTGCTGGCTGTCTACCCAAACGGGCTGTTGGTTCACCAGGGCTGCATGAGGGATGAGCACGTGTGCCCTGCCACCCACCGCGACTACCGGTATGATGCCTACTCGCTACTGGAAGATCTGTAGGAAGCCCTCTTGCTGCAGTACCTCACTAGGATCTGTCGATGGATGAGCGACCGTTCTCTGCCGCTTCGGCGACGTCCTCAATAAGCAAAACAACAACAACAAAAGAGTCACACCACAACACATTTTGAATTCGGCGATGCCTCTCAGCGAACTCTTTTCTTGGTTTCTTCCTCTCTTCACTGAGCAGCTGAGCGATGCCCGCAGCGTTCGACACGGAGTCTTCAGCGCCCGGGCAGCGATGCAGCTCCGCTTTCGCTAATTCTTGTGTTGCTCTCCGTGCGGGCTGCGGCGCACACACTTCACACTTCTCTCATGAGTTTTCTTTGTCACCTTCACTCCTTCTCGTTCTACCGCCTGCCTTCCTTCCTTCCTTGGGCTTTTCTTGAACCCCTTCCCCTCCCCCCCCCCCACCGCGTTCAACCGAAGCGTCAACGCAGCCGGCAACCATGTCCAACCGCCTCGACGCCTTCATTAAGTCCATCATATTCCCTCGGCCGAGGGAGTCCTCCTACGACACCACGTCGCACCCACACGAGCTCGTGCACATCCCGCTGGTGGACCCCGCTACGCAGGCTGAGAATGGCAGCTTCACCTGCGGCTACCTCTTCACGCAGCCCAAGGCGACGCATGTGCTGCTGTACGCCCATCCAAATGCCATTGACATCGGCATGTCGTACAAGGAGCTGCGCCACGTCGCGAGGGAGGCGTGCGTGAACGTGTTGCTCTTCGAGTACTCCGGCTACGGCCTCTCCAGCACCCCCATCACGGAGTCCAGCATTCACCAAGACACCTTGTCCGCCTATCTGTTCGTGCGGCGCCACCTGCACATTGCGGCCAACCGCATCATTCTCTGCGGGCGGTCCATCGGTGCGTCCCCCGTCGCCTTCCTCGCCGCCGCCCTCCCTCCAAGCGAAAAGCCGTGCCTGTTAATTCTGCAGTGCCCCTTCACAGCACTCAGCGAGTGCATCAACGAGTTCTCTCAAAACGCCGTCTCCATTGCGAACTTCTTGGGCTACAACTGGTTCCGCACCATCGACGTCATCGCCGCAGTGGAGTGCCCCGTTGCGCTGCACCACGGCACGCACGACACTGTCGTGCGCATTGCCCATTCCGAAAAGCTGCAGCAGGCCCGCGACACGGCATCAAAGCCTCGCGTCACTTACCTTTACAGGGAAGATGGTAAAGGCCACAATAACTTGAGCTCCGCGATGCTCGTCCGCATCCTTGCGGAGCGTGTGGAGAGTGAGCAGGCAGCATCGCTGAACCTGCGCATACCGAAGGTGCTGCTGGCGAATCCGCCCATCTACGATCAATTCTTCTGCGACGAGAGCGGTGAGCCGTACGCGTTCCTCGACGAGGCGATTGCCAACTGGTCCTCCAACTTCTCTCTGCACCGGTGCGCCGCACCGCTGGATCGGCTGTACAGTGTGCTCACGGCCAGCGTGTGCGCCTTCACGATGCAGTGCGCACGGTCGTGGCAGATTTACTGCGGACTCGTTAAGCGCAACGCCTGCGGTGATGCCGTGGAGGAGCGGTACTCGAAGGAGGAGTTCTTGCGCCGCTGTCTCGCGTGCTGGGGCAGTCCGCTGGGCATCCACATTTCTGTGGAGCGATTTCACAGGACTCAGGAGATACGGCTTTTCGGCTTTGCGACGTGCCGCGACGCTTTATTAGACGCACCGGCGTTCTACTCCATGCAGTGCACGGAGCCGCTGCTGAGCGTGCTGGAGATTGCGATCAGTCCGTCGCTGCTGTCGTGCATGAGGAGGTGTCTCTCCACAGCGCCAGGGATGCTGGACGGCGACCGCATTCCGTGCTTTGTGCAGTGTGACGCCGTAGAAGCCATCCAGCTCGAGTGCGAGCGCGCCGTCGGTTTCCTCGCACCGGAAGACCGCCATCGCATCTGCGCCCTCATGAAGGACTTCGCCACGAACTGTGAAACGACGATCAGCACGAAGGCGCGCGAGCGTCTTCTGCTGACGCCCGCCAAGTACCTCGGCCCTGGCGCCGAGTCGTTTGAGGAGATCCGTGAGTGGCTGCGACCGTGGACGTCGGCGCGGGCGACGGCGATACACGCCTTGGCGCAGGAGGTGCCGTGGGACGACTACCTCCTCCGCGGCCGCTCCCTCGCCTGCCGCCACACCTTAAACGAGAACATGAGTTGGGCGGAGTGTAATCGTGCGATGGAAGAAAGCCGTGTTGTGCTCGACATCCACTGCTTCTTCCAGGAGCTGTCGACGCAGTGTGTCAGACCGTCGTACTGCCGCCCTTGCAACGAGGCAGCCAGTGAGTAGTCGCTCGCTGAAGGGGAAAGCCGGAGACTCAGCTTCCTTTTTTCTTCATATTTGTTTGTGCACGTGCGCGTGTTCAGCTGTGCGTTGTTGTTCCCTTTCTTTGTTATTTCTAGAGACGTGGGCGCCTCACGTTTGCAGCGGTGGTGTCTACACCTTTTCCTTTTCCTTCTTCCCTGTTGTTCATGCACCTCCGCCGCAGCTCTTTTTCCTGTCCCCTCTGCGAGGCAACGCCGTGCTCTCAAGGCGGCGTACTTTGCCTTCTCTCCTCTTCTCTTGTTGATTTCTGATGTTCTTCCTTTTCCTTTCCTTGCGTACCTTTATTCAGCTGATCTCTTCGCGACGCTTGCAGGTGCCTGCGAAGCTGCACGAGTGCTGGGACTTTTCTCGAGTCGATGTGCGAACGCTTCTCTTTTGTACTTTTCTTTATTCGACCGTTGTTGCTATCTTCATCGCATTTTTTTTTTCTCTCTTTCCTTTTACCAGTTTCCCAAGAGGCTGCCGAGGACTTTGAAGTATAAAACTTGCGTAAAGCTGTACTTTGCGGGTGTAGTGGAGGAGAAAATACCTTCCTCCTTTGCTCTCCCTGCTCTTCCTTCTCGATTGTTTTCCCTTCCTCTTCGCTGCGACGACGACAGAGGCGGTTGGGGGAGGGGAGGGGACGCGTACGTCTCCTCAACTTTTTATTTGGCAATAAATATATCTTTTCCATAATGTTCCTCTTTGGCCACGTGCGATGGCTACGGAGCTCCCGCACCGGAAGAGCGCGACCCGTAATGTTCCTTCAGCAGCGCTCCGCCCCGCGAACCGACGCTCCGTAGAGCACCTGCGTAGTGTGTCTTCGACACAGCACAATGCTCCGCAGGCACGACAGTAACACACGCCCACGATCGGCATTCGTCTTGCCTTTCTCCACACACACACACACACACACACACACACACACATACACACACAATCGCAGGGGAGAGAAGACACACGCATCGGCGAGATCGTTGTTTTAACAGATTTCTCGTTGAGGAAACGCAACGGCAAACGCCAAAGCCCCAAACGGCCCCCCTACACACAGTGAGCAGTTCTTCTCTGTAACTCGTTCGAGGAACGACAGTCATAACAGACATTCTTTAACGATTCACACCCATTAAGAAAAAAACGGGTGTGAATGCAAGAGAAATATGGAGCACACCTTCACCCGCACCTCCACACCCCCGTGCCCACTGCCGCACACGTGTAAGTGCAAGCAGCGGCTTCCCCTCTTGGCCTTCTCACACCATCCTCGACGTCCGTAGAGGGTGTGAGCCGCAACGGAGGAGAGCTGCAGGGATGTGCGGCTGCGCTGGTGCACCCCAATTCGGCGCTTCTTCTGATTATTAGTTTTATGTGCTTCGATAAGTGTGGCAAAGGTACATCTCTCGTCTACCATTACCATAACAGCATTACATTGAGTAGGGGAAAGATAACCGTACGAGTCAAGTAAGAACAACAGACAACACAACACGTGAAACCAGTGAAATTGCTGACGAAAACGAGCAGAGGAGTACGAGGTAGAAGGAGCAACACAACCTATTATTATATGTAAAAGAATGATACTGGAGCGTAGCAAAATAATACTCATCATGGGAACGATATGCGGAACGCAAGGACCTCCAGCATTCGCGTGGAGTTATGCTCTCCCCTATGCGACATGATGCGCCACAGCTCCAACTTCTCCTAAAAAAAGAAACGTTCTCGCCTTCTTCGCGATCTAACATTTAATTCTCGTTTTGAATGTTACTCGTTGTCGAGATAGCGGCCTCTTTATGCTGTGTGTGTGTGTTGATGTGCACGCCTGTTAGAGTGTGGTGGACGACTTCACACCAGATACCTTCAGGAGTGTTGGAGAAGTACCCCGAAAGAACATAGATAGCACCACTATTATTACTATCAAGAAAACCTATTATAGACCCGTATGATGTCACACGCGCCAGGGAATGACGATTTGGCATCCATTTGCAGCTCTTTGTCGTCTGACGACGGAGTGCGAGGTGCCGAGAGCGGAGGCACCAACGAACACCTAGTTGACCTTCTCACCCGCCCCCGCTCTCGTGGCGGCTACGGCGGTCGGCTGAACTACACCGATTTCAGCACCCTCGCCCAGTCTCTTGGCTGGAGCAGCGAAGATATGGACGACTGCTGGTACGACATCATGATGGGCGAGCCCTCCGCGGAGGCGGTGGACATGTCGCGTGTGGCGGAGTGCGTGTGCAGCTACTGCTTAGCCTCCCCGCTACCTCTGCTGAAGAGCTACAAGTTTAATGGCGCGCAGGAGCGGCCTCCGTCGCGAGCGTCCGCGTCGTCTTGCGCCTCCTCCTTCAACGGAGTCGAAGAGGTGGAAGGGGCGTTGGCGAAGACCTGCACCCCACCACGGCCGCCGACGCCACCCCACGCAAACATGAACGAGAAGACCACGGTTGTGATTTCTCCGCCGTCGCCGGTGCCGCCGTCATCGCCGCAGGCGGGGAAGAAAGGGAGGGGCACCACAACGAAGAAAAACACGCAGGAGACACAGCGCACCGTCGCGGGTAGGTTGCCGCGATACGCGGTTGAGACGGCGTCGAGTGAGCGCAAGAAGCTGCCGAGCGCCTCGCCGCCGCCGCCGTCTCGCCGGCATCTTTCCTCTCCTCGCACTCCATCCAAATCGCCCTCTGGTCCGCCTGGCGGGCACGAGCGCGCCGCCTCCCAGCACGCTTCAGGAACGGTGTTCTTTCGTTTGTACGAGAACGGTATGGAGCAGCAACGCAAGCGACGTGCCGCCAAGTCGACGGCTGCCGAGGTCGACGTCGCTGAGTGCACCTTCCGGCCCAAAATACAACCTTACCCACTGAAGGAGAGAGACACGGCGGAGGGAAGGGTGCTGTACAACAAGCCCACCAAGTCGTACTTTGCGAAGCTTGTAGAGGAGGAAGAAACATGCAGCGACGTGATTGCAAAGGTGCCTGAGACACCACGGGTGACGTACCACCCCGCGCCAGGGCCGTCTTCGGACGTGCCGGCGGGGTACGTAGAAGGCGTCGCCCGCCTGCGCCGTTACGTGGCGTCGCGGTCGCAGCACGCAGACTTCAAGAGCAGTCTCCGTGACCCGGTGTGCAGTGACGTGGATCGACTCATGGATGCGCCAATCTTGCGGCTTCCTGTCACGGTAGAGGGCGTCGCCGAAACGGTGGATGTGCGCCTGGCCTCCGCCAGCCGTTGCCCCCCCTCGAGGCAGCAGCAGCAACCGCAAAACTACAACGGACCGTATTCCGAAGCCGCTGGCATTCCCGCGAGGGCCTCCACGCCACGTCGCTCCCCCTCCGCCCTGGTACGATACAAAGAGCACCCTGCGTATCACTGAAGCCTTACACGCGTTTTCCTTTCCTTTCCTTTTCTTTTCGTGTGTGGGCGTGTGTGTGTTGCAGCGCAGTAATGGTTCCGCTTCCTCCTTCATATAAATATATATATTTGCTCTCCGTTAGATACAATTTTTGTTGTTTCCACATCTCAAAAAGCTGACTCGATTGCCTAAATGTAAGAATCTCTTTTCTCTCACTGACAAGATATTGGTTCTTCCACCTCTGCATTACAATGAAACCAGAATAGAAAGGATATGCGAAGCAGTCACGCAAACGGAGGGCAACGGTCCGCTGCTGTGAAGCCACAGCGGGTTTTACTCGTTTTATTACTGTTATTATTATTCACCGAGGACTATGCCCACTACTCTCTTTTCCTTTTAACTCACCGCTACACTGAGCGATAAGGACGGCTCTTTATACGTCTCAGCCAACGGAAGCTTTTCTTGAGCGTTGCAGTGCACTTCGCTGCCTTATTCTTTCGCTACACCATCAACTCTTCCTGCCCCCTTCTCCTCTGCCCTCTTCGATTACTTCTTCCATTTCGTTTGGCACACGCACACACACGTGGATATCGGTTTCGTAGTTCTCATCGGCGTGTTGTGTCACTCTCCCAACAAAGAAAGAAGTACATGCCGTTTGTGTTGAGCCATCCACCGGATACCGCGGAGAGAGTGGAGGGGGAGCCGTTCTATCAGCTATGCGCCTATTCCATTCAGGACTCCGACGCGGTGCGGTCACCGTGGCACGATTTCAGGTTTTGCCTGCGCGCTTTCAAAGTTCTTCCACCGTGCGACGCCGTCGGTCTCCTCTCCGGGCACGACGCCACCGGCCTTGTTGTCTGGTCCGGCGCTCTGGCGCTGCTGGAGTGGCTCCTGCACCACCCCGATCGCCTTGATGCTGCGATGCGCTCGTCATCTACGCAAGACCAAACCTCAGCGGCGTCTGTCGGGGCCGCGAGCGCGACGCACGTCATCGAGCTGGGCTGCGGGTCCGGCATCACCACGGTTGGTCTCCATGCGTTGTTGTCACGCCGCCGCGGCGCTGCGCCATTGGGGCAGAACGACGCCGCCGCCCGCACACACCTGTGGGCCACTGATGGCAATCCCGACTGTGTGGAGCTGGCGCAGCGAAACGTGCGAGAGCAGTGCAGTGGCGGTGGCGACGGGAGCCCTTCGTGTGGTGTGGCGGCGTCAGCAGAGCTGCTGGCGTGGGGGGACGATGCGGCCGCGGAGCAGTTGCTGAGGAAGTGCTGCGGCGACGCTTCGCCCTCGTGCGGTCCTTCCGTGACGATTGTGTCGGCTGATGTGCTCTACGATGCGGCAGCGGTCCCGCTTCTCGTTTCGACGGCGGCGAAAGTGGCTGACCTGCGCGCTCCAGCAGGTGCGTCGGGCTGCTGCGAGAAGGAGTTGGAGTGGTGGCTGGCGTACGCCCCACGCAGTCTCACCCGTGCCGGCAACGAGTGTATTTTCCAAACCCTCCTTGACGCCTTCGCGGAGCGTGGCTGGACCTATGAGGTGTTTCCGCTGCCAGCTGGCGCCGTGACGACAGGCTTCGAGGAGCACTGCGACTGTGACACAACGGCGCTGCGCGGCTGCATACTGGTTGTACGTGTGAAAGGGGCAGCTTTCTCGTCTCGGGAATGAGCGCGCTTCTGCTTTGAAGCCACACGGCTTCACCGGATACTCCTTTTGAAGTCCACACAAGGGGCACGCATGGGGGCGTAGGCGGAGTAAACTAGGCGACTGCGTGCTCCTCTCCTCCCCCAAAAAGAAAACGCTGTGAACGCCGCCTCATCGGCTGCGATCGATCATCTCAGTTTTTTCCGGCGAAACAGCACGCGATAGAAGTAGAAACCGTTTCCAATCACTGCACTGTGTGTGCCCTATTTGTGGCCCAACTTGGCGTAGCGAATAGCAGCGTTGCCGGTGTTGCGGTGTGTCGCTGTGCAGCGCCAAGTGCCGTACACGTGGGGCGGCGGAAAAGGCAAAGAAACTGTGCCGTGAGCCGAAATGGACGACATAAACCGCGCCCGCCCCTCTCATGCTCTCCTTCTTCAGAATGGCTTTACATCATCGTTACTTGCCTTCGACCCTATTTGCTTCCTTTCCCAAAGCTAACAACGGCTAACAGCAACGAAACGCTCTCACATCACGCAGCGATGATGCTTCCAGATTACATTGAGTTTGAAGAGGACAACGGCGATTCGCTGCCGGATGAGTTTCGGTGCCTCGTATGCTACGGACCTCTTTCTTGTGCAGTGAACACCGCCTGCCAGCACCGGATCTGCCGCAGCTGTTCACAGAAACTTCAGGAAGACGGCAAAACGCAATGCAGTTTCTGCATGCACCTACGAAACACAGAGGAAGACGTGGAGCTCAGCAACCGTGTCAACGAATACGTGAAACCGTTTCTTTTAGCCAAAGCACATGAACTTCTCGAGGAGCTTTTTCCGCCGCCACTGCTTACCGTCATTCCACAGTTTGCCGACCGTTTCATGCAAACGGACCCCCACCGGCTGCACTTGACACGCCTTATATACGAGCTGAAGAACTTGAAGGAGTATCTTTCTCGCAATCCAGTGGACATGCAGAATGCTGGCGGCATTTCCAGCCGGATCGTCGCCTGCACGTCTCAGAAGGAATTCGACGCTGTTCGAGGCAGGGAAACCGTTCTATCACTTACGATACAGGGTACCTGGTGTGTCACGCTGGACCTGCTATTTAGCGAATTCAGCAGTGTACACGAGCTGAACTTGAAGGGCTGCGCCCAACTGTGGTCGCTATCAGGCGTGGAGTGCTTGCGGTCACTCACGCACCTCATCGTGGAAGACTGCGGCGTGGTCGGTGCGTGGGGCATCGAAGACTGCCCGCATCTCTATCATATAGAGTTCAGACGCTGTCCAGAATTCAGAGGACTTTCTTTGCTGCGAGGCGAGCGGAACATCGCAGCGGCAAACGACAACTCTCAGCAGCTTGGTGTGGTGCGCATCTCAGAGTGCCCTCTGTTCGAATACATTGAGACTACACCTTCTGCTTTAACGCTGCGTGAGCTCACTGTGTCTTATACGAGGTTTTCAGATCTTACTGATCTCCGTTCTTGCAGTTCCCTTGAGCACCTCGACGTGAGCGGCTGCCACCGACTCACCGACCTCAGCCCGGTCAAAGATTTACAGCGACTTACGTGGATCGACATTTCTGACACTTCTGTGGCAGACCCGCTTGCAACGTTGTCCCAGCTGGCACAGCTGACGGAGGTAAAGATGAACGGGTGCAACGCGCGAGGCGACCTCCGTGAACCGGAAACCGCAACCGCCCCGAGGGCTGTGGAAGCGGCCCGGGCAGCCGTCACGAGACTGCGCCGAAAGAGGAGACAGCGCCAACGTGCGTGACATGCTTCACATGAAGAAGCGCTGTGAGAGGGCAGATACTTCGCATACGAGTGCAGTGACTCACGATGGGTTTCTCCAACGAAGATCACTTGGCAATTCGGACAACTGGAGGAGCTGGACCTTTCCAGAACCGAGGTGGCAGACATCACTCCGCTCGCCGCCTGTGTACCAGTCCTCATGAACCTATCCCTTTGTCGCTGTGATGTAAGAAACAACTTCGTGCTGCGCGCAGCACGACGGTTTGAGAAGTTAAGCCTGAAGTCAACGAGTGTCACCGATTTTTCGATGCCCCCCTCGGTCGACTGAAGGTTACAAATAACGCTGTGCGTCGGACGTTCAGCGTGCGACTTCTTTGCTTCTGCACCTCCCAACAGATCTCATGCACGTTTCCCTGTCTGCCGTTGCCGGAAAGCGGAGTGGTAAAAATATTTTTATTGTTTATTCGTTTCCGATTCTTCTGCCTATGCACATCAACATCATCTTTAAGCGTTATCGCGCTGTGTTTTGCTTTCCTGCAAGGACGGAAAACACGGTCAGCCTTGAACAGGATCGGCTACGATGGACAGCAGGCCGCGCAATTTAGTTGTCGGGTTGCAACTCCTTTTTTTTTGATTCGTTGCTTTCTATGCTTGTTGTTCTTTTTAATCTTACCATAATTTGTTCGGATGCTTTCTGACCACCGACTCTCTTCTCTGATGTCCTCAGCCTGTGAAGGATCGTGGTGAGAGTGATCGTACTGGCTGTGGGCAGCAACGACGTTCTCTGTGCGCGCCGCTTCACTGATGAAGCTTACTCCTTTTTGAGATTCATTCACAGATACTTGAACGGACGCCATCAGCAGATTAGAGTCGCTGCACTTGTTTTAAGACCCTTCTTTATCGCACTACGTAAAGAATTGATATATTTTCTCCTTCCCTTGGGTCGCCGTATTCAAACGACGCAAATAACTCTTTCAGTTGTTTCATTTGGCCAAACCCTTGCATTTTTCTTGTTTCCTGTTCTGTTTTTTCCCCGTCTTCCTACTGCAGAAAGTGGATACTTTTAGGACCACCGAATACTATTAGCGTTAAGAAGCACTAATGAAGCCTTCTCGCAAGGCTTTTCATTTTTTTTTTCTTTTCAACCATTTCAAAACAAGTTTAAATCGCACATGCTCTTCAAGCGAAATCTTTCTCTTTCTCTTCTTAAAAATCTTCTTCTTTTCAGCGTCCAACGAATGTCGCTTCGTCATTTAGCAGGATCGCATCTTTGCTTATGTTTCAAGGCACATCAATATAAATATGTTCTCTTTTTTCTCTCTCGTGGTTAAAGCGATGTGTCTTTGCTTTCGTTTATTGCTCCGTCGGTGACCCGAGTGGGCCACGCGGAAAGCGCAAACACCTCAAAGAGAGAACCGAAGCTTTTCCAGACGAGCTCAATCGAATTTTCTGGCCAGAACGCGACAAGCGCTGTACTGTTGGCACGTAAAATCTGGCCGCCAGGTGCTTCAAAGTAACTCCAGATAGCGCTGCTGTTTACTGCCCTGTTGACAGGGGTCGCTCTCTCTGTGTTCTATCGCGTTGCCCAACTGCAGCTGATGGCCGCTGTCTTGAGGAAGAGCGGCTTCGTTTCAATTTCGCCAGTGCCCATACAAGCTTCCCGTGCGGACGATCTTGGACAGCGCGGGGTTTTGCTTTCTGGCCGGGGCATCTTTGCCTGCTCTCCTTTTCTCTGCGGAGACTCACTCTTCTTCGTGTCATTTTCCTTTTCCGCGACCTGCCTTTACTGACTGCGGCGTCTCTTCTTCCGTCCTCTTACCTCTGCCTCAACCATGCTGTGTTGCTTTGCCTACGAAGGAAATACGGTGAAGAGCCGATGTGGTCAAACAAGACTGCTCGTCACTCTTCCCTTCTCTAGAACGCTGCACCTTTTTGGACCAAAGATGTTGTTGGTCACTTGACACGCGCAAATGCAGCTCTGTCTCACACCTCTCAAGGCAACGTGCGTGCGGCGCCGTCGTGTCTGAACGCTGATTCCCTTGTGCAAATACTGAGGTGTATTTCTCGTGCCTCGATCTTCCGCGAATTCGACACGATGACTGCTGTACGTACGCAAGAGAAGATGAGCGTAAAGACACTCACACCATTCCAATCGGTGAGGGTGGCGAGCTGCGCGCAGTTGGGCAAAATCCAACTAGCTTCTCCAGTCAAAGCGACTGCGCGGACGAGGAAGAAGAGGGAGCTGCCGCATACTCGCTGAGGTGGGTGAGTCGGTGGGGACTGCTGCTGGTGCTCGTAGTTGTCAATACCTGCAGCGATGCGCTGGCACACCGCAAGGAGAGGTTGAGAGAGGCCGAATGATGGAGCTGCGTTCGACGGCCAATGCAGCATCTTTGACAGCCTGACAGCTACCCAACTTGGACTACAGTCAATGGCGGACTTGCTGAAGTGTGCGAGGGCAACCCCACACGCCTGGTGCTTCCCGCACAACCGTGTATGGCAGGAATGGCCGTCAGGGCCCACCACCCCGCGTGGGAAGGACGCGAACCGGCGGAGGTCGACGCTCCTCCGAACCGCGGCGACGCAGCGGGAAGCACTTCATTGGGCTGCGCCTCGTGAGCGGCCTCCGAGGACTCCACGACGTACCGCAAAGCGGGATCCCCACGCCGCGCCCGCTGCGACAGAACCTCCTTCGCCTAAACGTGGCGACTCCCAAAGTTGGTGAAGCTCGTCCCACGCGGCAGCAGGGAACTGCACCGACTCACTTTCGTTGGTGCCTTTCACGGCACTGTGGTCTTCTTGACTGACCGACCCACGACGACGACGACGTTGAATGCTGGTGGCGTGTCGCACAGCGCGTGCAGTAGGCGAACGTGCCACCTCCGCTGCCGCTGCCTCCTCTGAGCCGCCGCCTTGCGTTTACTTTACAAGGAGAGCCGCCGACCCGGCCCTGTGCCCCGTGTGCTGCGAGTGCTGCGTGCATCGAGACCATCTCCAAGGCCAATTCGTACGCGACTACAGGGTCCCGTGCCCGGCGGAGCTCATCGCGCTTCTTACTCGGGCACTTCACGCGTCGCCGCCCAGCTTATGCTGCCGCCGTCCGCGGTGCACCTTCTTTACGACGAGCCAGCTGGTCCTCTGTCAGCGGCGCATGCTGCGTCGGGGCCCGCTGCCGCACGGCACTCCCACCCCGTCAGCAACGCCCGCGCAGGTGGGAGGCTGGAGTGCCCCGTGCGCCGCCGGCCGATCGCCGTGGCACGCATGCAGCATCGCCTCCAATCGGCGCACGCAGGTGGCAGCGCCGCGCTCACAGCCGCCGCCCCTCCCGCCGCCGTCAACACGGACACGCAGCGGCGCACTCGTCCCACCGCGGTTCCGCGAGTGCCGGTGTGTGCAGCCCGCCGTTGCGCTCTCTCTCCACTGCTGTGGGCGTCCTTCACCGCGTCCGCACTCACCATCCCGTTATCCCGAGACGGACTGTGACAGGTGCGAGTGGTCGGCCGCAGTCTGTTTCCGTCCATCCGAAGACTCACTCCTGTGCCCTATGCGCCGCCGCCTCTCTCGAGCCTGAGGGACTGAGGCGTCGCCAAGCAGCTCGGCGTGGCATTGGCAGCCCTTCTCCTTTCCGGATATCGAGCCGGCTGCGGTGTGGGGAAGCTCCCAGGCACCTGCTGGTGTGCCGCGGGCTTGCAGCACTACGCACGGGGCTCGATACACGCTTTGGGTGCTGCGTTGGGGCTGGCCCTGACGTTAAATTTGCCCCGTCTCTCATCGCGATGACCGAGTGGCGTCCCACCAAGGCTCGCGTACTGCACGTGAGGCAGCCGCCGCGTCCGGTGTGCCCGCCCCTGTGGCCGGTACCGCGAGCCGCCAGGTTGTTTCTTCCTTTCCTAACGCGTCTCAAGGCGACGTGTGCCACAGGCAGCGCGGGGGCGCGGCTGGCGAAGTAACGCCGCCTCGTCTACGCATGGTGCAGGTCCGCCGGTGGCGGCTGGAAGTGGTGGCCGCGGGTTTCGCCACAGAGCCGCGTTGAGTTGCGGAGGCGCCGCGAGTGGGCCTCGTCGTGTTTTTGCGTGTGTTGGGAGAAGGCGCGCGTGCGTTTGACATTGACGCCGTGCGTCCGCCTTTTCCCCTTGTGCTCTCTTTTCTCTGCTCGGACGCAAGCGCTGTGCAGAATGCGCTGGTGTGGAAGCCGGGCTCCCTGCGAGCCCCACTGTCTGCCCTGCCCTGGTGTTTCTCCCCCCATGAGGCCTGCGAGGCGCCAACTGGGCCGTGCGGGTAGTGCGGCACCGACGAACGGCTGGGGTGTCATTGCTGCTGCTGTGTGGCCCATTAGAGCCGACCTGTTTCTGTAGGGTGCCTCTGCTTTCTCTCACTCGTACACAGGGATTGTGCCGTCACATGCTCGACGAGTGCGTGCCCATTGCACGTGAGCGTTGCTGCCCTGCGCTCCTCTACGAAATCCCCTTCGCTCCGTTGACGACGCCTTTCTTCAATCGCGCTGCGTTTCTTGTCGATGGCATCAACACACACCACTGGTTGCCATCTTCACCTCCTCCGCCATTTGGCGTCTGCATAGACACTCACGCTACCCTTCTCTAATTGCTATTCTTTTAAAGTTTTTTCTTTAGCACTGAAGTATCACTATTAAGCTCTTTCTGCCCTTGTCTTGTTAACACGCACGCCATTTGAGCCCTCCTTCGTATTTCTCGCTAAGACTCGATCCGCCCAACCAGCGCTGTTCCACAGCGTAGAGTTCCCCCGAGTTCTACCGTGTCCGGGAGTTAAAGGCCGTCGAAAGACGTTTCTTCAATTCCCTGTGCACCGCGCTTCGCTATTATTTCTGTTCTCCACACCGCCTCATCTGTTGATCTCCTGTCGCCCGTCTCTGCTCGCCGAGCAGGCCGACCGGACAGCAGCATGAGCCGTTTTTGCTCTTCTTGGCAGCCGTGGAAGGCACTCGCCATCGGCGCTCTTCTCCTGTGCTGTGCTCTCGGCCCTCACCTGGCGACCGCCGCGGACGGCAGTACGGCGCCCGCACCCACGCCGGAGTCGGAAACGATGAAGTTCCTGCAGGCTCTCGTGACGACGGTGCCAGATCTGGAGAACTACAAACAAGGGGACGACTACTGCAACGGCTGGCAATTCGTGACATGCAACGCCGACAACACGGTGGCGGTGATTCTGACGGGATTGGCGCTGACGAAGCCGTCGAGCCTGCCGGATCTCCCCGACGATGTCGACGGCGCGAAGGTGGCGATGAAGTCGTTCGCGGCGAACAAGTTGTACAACTCTTTGGTCGGGACGCTGCCACCGAGCTGGGGACGGCTGACGCAGCTGCAGACTCTATCGGTGGCGGACAGCTACAATGTGGAGGGCACCCTGCCCGCGGCGTGGAGCGCAATGAAGGAGATTATGTGGATGACACTGGGCAACAACAAGCTGTCGGGCACCCTGCCAACGGAGTGGAAAGTACTGACTAAGCTGACGCGCCTGGATCTGAGCTTCAACCAACTGTCGGGCACCCTGCCGACAGATTGGAAGGATCTGACGGCGCTGACAAAGCTGTGGCTGGACGAGAACCAACTGTCGGGCACTCTCCCGACAGATTGGAAGGCTCTGACGGCGCTGACAGAGCTGTGGCTGGACGACAACCAACTGTCGGGCACTCTCCCGACAGATTGGAAGGCTCTGACGGCGCTGACAGGGCTGTGGCTGAGCAGCAACCAACTGTCGGGCACTCTCCCGACAGATTGGAAGGCTCTGACGGCGCTGACACAGCTGTTGCTGGGCGACAACCAACTGTCGGGCACTCTCCCGACAGATTGGAAGGCTCTGACGGCGCTGATACAGCTGTGGCTGGACAACAACCAACTGTCGGGCACTCTACCCGCAGCGTGGAGCACGATGACGCAGATGAGGCGGATGCAACTGCAGAAAAACAAGTTCTGCGGCTGCGTGCCGAAGGAGTGGAAGGAGATGACACTGGTGACGCTGACCGTGGATGACAACGTGGGCGGGGATACCTGTGCAACGACGAATGCCTGTCACATGACGTCCAGCAGCGGCTCCAACAGCAGGTCCGGCAGCAGTTCCAGCCGCGGGAACAGCTCTACGGCGAGCAGCAGTTCCAACGAGTCCACGTGCGTTGTGGTAAATTGCGTGCTGTGTGCACCCGGCAGCACCACGGAATGCAGCGTGTGCGACAGCAGTTACATGCTGACGGATGACTCTCAATGCGCCTCTTACTGTGATGCGGCGCACTGGCAGAGCCTGGGCAGCCCAAATGGGCGGCTAATGCTGGCGCTGCTGTGCACTTCTATGCTGTGGAACCTGATCTAGCTGGCGTCCTCGCTCTCCAGATTTCCACGAAGGACGATGTGAATAGACCGCCGAGATGTTCCTTTCT